CCCCTCCACCCAAACGTCGACCCATTCAAGCACTGACAAGCATACACACTTCACACATTTTTAACCGCCTCGGGCTTCTATTATTCTTTTGGGTTACCCGCAGATCATTCATTCCAGAGTGCTTGTATTCGAACCGGCATTTGTGTCTGTACGTGCTGGTCTCCAGCTCGCGGTATCACCATTGTCCCGGGTCGAATGGATACGATGTATTCCAGCGCCTCGGTCCTTTAATGATTGCACGTAGCAATGACCTTGCAATTTTGAATTCTCATCCCTCTTAGTTTCCGGCTTCCGAGTCAGTGTTTGTCCCGTTTTGAGCGTTGCAGCAGAAGGCTTCGTTGGGACCGATACACTCAGATTGCCAGTCTCGGCTCCGCATTTTCGACCAGACCACTGCAAAGACCACCAAGGTGCAAGAACGCTGGTGCAGAAACCAATGGAGACGATGAGCATTGAGGAGATCTCCTAGATGCCGGACATGGACCGGACGATGAAGTGGTAAGGACGAGCAGCATCGTCTTGACTATGTTACCTTGCGGTAAATCTTGATGGACGCGTGTTTGCGTTGATGGTCACAAACTTTCACACATTCAAACAGATCCAGTGTTTGTTCCGGCTTTACGCAAAACGGTTACCGATGCCGAGCCGATGGTGCCACCCCACTTTGGCACCCAACTTGTTCATGCTAATGGGCTACCAACTGATGGTTCTTTGATACAAGTTAACATGCTGGTTGCTCTTCCTGGAAGGATCCATCGTGCATAATAGCTGAAGACCAGCAGCTGGAACTGTTTTACACATTCGCTTGACGCTCGGAAGCTATCTGATCCCCCCTGCCACGACCAACCTAATCCCATCGTATCTACTTGACATCTCGCCAACATGCCGAAGGACGCCGCTCCCGATCAGATGCCTGAGCTTGGGATCAACACCTTATTCGGCATCAAGGGCAAGGTGAGCAAGCTTTGTGTGGTACCCCGCCGTAGTTTTCACGGCGGGAAGAATTTATCCTATTCAAACTACGGAGCCCCCAGAGGAGATAGCTGACCGGCTAGCATGGACGACATTCGCGCTTTGTTCTTGGTGATCAGGTTGCCCTCGTTACTGGTGGTGGATCGGGTCTTGGAAAAAGTGAGCTGTTCCAGCCCCGGAGGTAAACATCCCCGCGTCGCTGCTATACTGATCGTGGCACCACTACCCATCTGCTATCCAGTGATTTCTGCCGCTCTCGTCCGCAACGGTGCCAAGGGTGAGCAGCAAATAGACTTGCCTTGTCTTTTTGGGAATGTATGGGAAGGAAAATGGACGGGCAATACTGATTTCGGCTGCATTCACTATTATACGCAGTCTACATTGCGTCTCGAAAGCTCGAAGAGCTGCAGCGGGTCGCCAAAGACCTAAACGTCTTGTCACCCCCGGGTGCCGTTTCCGGCCTGGCCGTCATTCCGGTCCAGGCTGACGTGAGCAACAAGGCGGGGTGTGATGCCTTGGCCAAAAAGATTTTCGACAAGGAGAAGGAGTTGCACATTGTGAGCTTTGCGCTTACATTACTCTGAGGATGCTGCTGGGATGGGTTTGCCGAATGCTAACTTCGCCACGGCTGCATCCCTTCTCAGTTGATCAATAACGCTGGTCTCACCTGGGGTGCGGCGATGGATGACTTCCCTGAGCAAAAGGGCTGGGACAAGGTGTTTGATTTGAACGTCAAGAGCCAATTTTACCTGACAGTCGCGTGAGTGCTTCCCGCGTTATTTTCTGTGCATTGGCCCTTTGACATGATGTTATTCACACTCTCCTTCGCGCCCATCTTTCGGCCCCGCAGGCTATTGCCGCTGCTGACGGAGAACAAGTCGAACACGAGTAAGTAGTCGCCTTCATTGGCTTCGGATGGCTCCATATATACGGTACGATTGACCAGCGGACGGGCTCGAACCTCTCAGACCACGCCGAGGTCATCAACATTGCCTCCACGGCTGCCTACACGCCAATGGCCGAAAGCCCGTTGTCTGCGCCAGGCCACGGTACTTTCAGCTGTGAGTAGACTTCCGCTCAGGCCTGGTGTGGAACTCAAGAAGGAAGCCAGGCATACGGTCGCTATTTGATATCGCAAAACTCACATACGCTCTTCTTTTTGCGCGTGCAACCTCAGACCAACCGTCGAAGGCGGCGTCGGTGCACCTGACACGAACGCTGGCGAACAGCCTGGCCGAGAAGCACGTCCTCATCAATGCCATCTGCCCTGGCGTCTTCCCAAGCCGCATGACTGCATATGCGATCGGAGAGAGCGGCGATCTGCTTGAGTCGTCACAGCCTACAGGTGAGTCCATCTCGAAGACATAAGAAGTAGCAGTCGTCAACTGACTCGCTGATATTTGTTCCCGTTTTCGCGTCGTCCCGCACGCGCGTGCACACAACTTTCTCTGTGCACAGGCCGCTTGGGCTCGCCTGAGGACATCGGCGGTCTGGTTGTCTTCCTTTCCTCGCGCGCCGGCTCGCACATCACCGGTGCCGCAATCCCGCTGGACGGCGGTAGCAGCTTGCAGTTCATGCCGCGTCTTTGAGCGGGACTTCACATGGAAGTGAACCAGACGTATAGACAAGAGACAGAGGGCCCCTGATACTTACGCCTGTGAAGCGGGATGTGCTGTTAATGCGCTTTCTAAACAATGTGTATATGTAGATGGATCCAAATGCATGTTACATGTATGTTCACTGTAGTCATAGACTCATCCCAGGGTGTCGCGGATGGAGGTGGTTTGAGTCAAAGGTGTGCACCGCAGTCATCAGAAAGAAGCACCGCAGCAGGAGAGAGGGTCGAGACCCAAGTGTGTTGAGTCAAAAGTGTCGCGGGACAGCTGCGCGACTCTGAGGAAGGGCATTGCACTGGACGGCACTGTTTGGATGGGAGTAAGCACACAGGCGCGAGCAAATGCGGCCTGGCGAGCGCTGGCTCTGCAGCAGTCAAAAGCTGTCCACCCGCTCACACACCGCCATATGATTCCCGCCGCGAGAGAAAGAGCGGCTGCGGCAGAGAGACAAGGAGAAGCTTCTCCCACAGACAACCCCCACCCAGCATCCTCGCAGAACTTCTTCATCCCCCAAGCTCAGACAAGCTACGTCCGAGGCCCGCTATATCCCTTGGTAGCAAACAGCAGCGATCAAAACCGACCAGCGACCTGACAAAGATAAAGAAAAAAAGAGCAAGAGGTAAGAGAGAGAGTGGACCAAGGCCAAAAAGGATCCAGGCTCATTGCGTTTCGGGGGGAAAAACAGCCTCCTTTTCATCTCAGTCGCCCAAGTCTGTTTTTCTTCCGACCGACTTGTATTAACAGTCGAATCAAGCAACACCAGCTATCCACACCTAAAGGATCAGACCTACAGAGGTCTATTGAGGGTGAGTTTCTCTGTTCTTGCACATTCGGAGCAGCAACAGGGAAGGAAAGTCGAGGAGTAGCAGCGTCGGCTGGATGGCTGCCTGCTCACGAGAATGCTTCCGAGAGAACGCAACACGAGACCCTAGTTGCTAACGGTGCGCTTGGATACTTATTCCCACCCTTCGCCTCTGCCTTTTCATCACACGTGCAGCCTCTGTCGACCGCCATGAGCGTCGCATCTAGAAACCCGTTTGCCCTCCTTAGCGGTAAGTATCTTTGTACCGCTCACGATCGGCCGCCGAAGTGATATAAGCTCAATACTCTTTTTTTCTATTTGCGTGCTCTCCACATTCAACTTCTGCTCTATTCCATGTTCGGCTTGGGTACGTGACCTTTCTCTACAGAGGACGGAGAGGCTCCCGCCGCCGTCCCCGCCCCCGTCAAGAAGAATGACACGACCTCGGCGGTCAGCAAGCCCACTCGCGAGATCCCAGGTGCCGTGAGGAGGGGAGGCGCTGCACGAGACGGCGCACGTGGAGGTCCCCGCGGCGCCATTACTGCCGCTGCTGACGGCGAGCAGAGGGAGAACCGCGACTCTCGTTTGTGTGAGTCGCGCAGTCCGTCAGCCATCGTCGCTGCTTCGCTTCGCCAATACCAACTTGGTCGGGATGTGGATGGGACGGTGCAAGGAAAGCTACCATTCAGATAGAAACGGCGTGCTCGCAGGCATGGCGTGTTCAAACACCAGATGAATCACACAGCAACGGCCGCTGACAAGCCTAATTCTTCCGGGAGCACGGTATTGATAATATTCTCTTCACTGTTTGCAGCTGAGCGTGGTCGTGCTGGTCGTGGACGTGGCCGTGGTGGCCGCGGTCGCGGCCGTGAGTTTGACAGGCACTCTGCTACCGGCCGGACGTGAGTCTTTTCGTGGTCCTCTGGCAGACACCACGCTGACCGCGACGCCTTACACAGTGACTCTGGAAAGGCCATTGCTCAGGGCTGGGGCGGTGACGACCCCAAGCGCGAGCAGGACGCGGAGGAGGGCGCTGTCCTCGACGCCGTCGCCGAGGAGAGCTCTGTCGCTACGCCCGCCAACGGCGAGACCAAGGCCGACGGTGCCGAAGCTGCCGCTGCTGACGCTGGCGCTCCAGCTGCTGTCGAGGAGGTGGACAACACCAAGACTCTCGACGAGTACCTCGCCGAGCAGGCCACCAAGAAGGCTGCTATCAACGGCACCAAGGCTCCCACTCCGCGCCAGGCTGACGAGTGGAAGGAGTTCGGCACCAAGGTTCAGAAGGCCTCCGAGGATTCAGAGAGCTACTTTGCCGCTACGGCATCAAGTAAGGTATGTGCTGTTCCGCAGAGAGGCCCTGTTTCACTGCGTGCGAGCGAGCGGGGAGTTGAGGATGCTAATGCAACATCTTCTCATTGGTCGTCACTGTACAACAGGAGTCTGCCCGCGCGCAAAAGGCTCGCAAGGAGAAGCAAGCCGTCGAGATCGACACGTACTTTGAGGCGCCCGCAAGTGGCGAGCGCGGCGTGCGCGGTGGCCGAGGAGGCAGTAGGGGTGGTGCCGGACGCGGCAGGGGCAGCGACCGTGGCTCTGGCCGTGGCGGTGCCACCCGTGGCAGCCGCGGTGGCCCCGGCGGTGCCAGCGGCCGCAGCGCTCGCGGCCAGGCTAACTTCAGCTTGGATGACAGCCGTGCGTTCCCCTCGCTTAGCGCGTAAATGCGCAACCCCGCGACGCCACAGCAGCCACTGTGTTGGGAGCTTCTGTTGCTACATTGGGAGCATGACAAGCGTTGCCTCGCCTCCCCGCCTGGCATTTGATTGCAGGACCCTCAAGAAGGCAATATTCCGAAGAACCACCCCACCACACAACGTAACATAACACAAAAAGTCCGCAGCCGCACTCCCCTTTCCACGTGAGCGTCGTGAGAGGGGCAGCTTGGGTTGCCGCAGAAAGAAAATACAGAAGGAGAAAAGGGAAGATACGGGACACCCCCTTCCAACGAACCAACCACCCAACCACATACATACACAAAACCCCCATGTCTTTTTCTTCGCACGTTTTGTACTTTTTCTTTCTGCAGGGCGATGAGATCAGAGCTATCGATTGATGATTGGCGGTTACATTGCGGTTGACGGGGATTCTATTAGCTTTCCTCGTCCGTACTCAAAGCCTCAAACCTTAAGTGTGTTCTGACCGTTCAAGGTCGCTCTTGCTGCTCGCCACCGGTTGCCTGATAATGGGTTATGAGCCCCTGAGCTTCGTCAAGGGTCTGGATTTTCCCCATGCAAGTCAGTGCAGGAAGCTCGGTTGCTCCAAAAAAAGCCCAGTTGTCATGGGGAACGCAGCGGAGCAATCTTTATATAGGGTTGGTGCTCACAGCCTCATCTCTTGCACCTTCGGCACCGCATTTTCCTCGCACTTTTGCGTAGTCACAACAGTGTGTGTCCCTTGCATTCGGTGGCAGGCCTCCAACTCCACGTCATGATGTTACATGTCCATCATCCATGCATGCTGGTCATTCCATATTACATGGTGATCACGGATTGCTGATTGCACCATTGTCCTTCCCACCATCTCCGTTTAGTTGTCCAAGTCCAAAGGGAACCGTCTCCGCTGTGCTTTATTGTGCACGCAGCTCCGCTTGCCAAGTAGCAGCAGCTGCCGTTGCCGCTGCTGGTGCACATCGCGCTCCTCGCCACAAAGTTCAACCCGGACCGCGTCGCCGAGAGGTTGCAAGCATGAATTCCACACCACTACCCGATTACTACAAGACGCTGAGTGTCTCGCCATCCGCGACTACAGCAGAGATCAAGGACGCGTACCGGAAAGAATCGCTGCGATCGCATCCTGATCGATTTCCGCATGCTACACCGTCAGAGTGAGTATTTTGTGTTTGCCTCTGGCGCGGGAAATGCTGGTCCCAGTATTGTCGCGTTGACTAACACTGGGTCCCACGATACGTTTCAGAAGAGAGCGGTATACAGTGCGCTTTCAGACGCTAGCTGATTCTTGTCAGTATTCACTGCAGCTTTCCATTCACTCAGAGGTGAGCGAAGACTGAGAGGAATTACCCTGTCTACCTCTGCAGACTACATCCTTTCGGATCCCGGCCGGCGAGCAGAGTACGATGCGCAACGGAAGATGCACTCTTCCTACTCCTCTTCCTCATCGTCGACAGGCACGGCCGACTGGTCCAGCTTTTTCGGCCCAGACGGCGATCCAGAAAAGGAACAGCAATCGTCCGCCAACTTTTTCCATAACTTTTTCCGACACGCTGGAGCGCCGGCCTTTGGCGGTGCGGCAGGGGCAGCTGGAGGCGCGCACAAACACGAACACGCAGGCGCAAACACGGCTGCTGATGGTGCGCAACCCTCGGCCGATGGTGTCTTCGGTGATGTGTTCGAGGAGCTGCTCAGGCCCGAAGTACGCCGCATTGCGCCCATATGGACCTGGGTCGGCTTGGCATCGGGCGCAAGTCTAGGGTTCATCTTGGGCAACATTCCTGGCGCAATCGGTGGGGCTGTTGTTGGGAACCGGCTAGGAGCCATCAGAGATGCCAAGGGCAAGAGCGTGGCAGAGGTGTTCATCAAGCTGGGCGCTCATCAGAAGGCGGAAGTCCTCAGAGCTCTGGCGATGAAGGTGCTCGGAAGTATGGGTAGTAATTGACGATGCTATCTTGTAGATCGTTGCTCAGTCAGATGATATACCCTATTTTATGCCTGAAATTCAAATGTATGCTACAATGTAGAAATGATGCAATGGAATGACAAGTGAGCGTAGCACTTACTGTGCGACTCGAATCTCTACTCTTCCATGACTTGCTCCGCATTGGACCACCAGCTTGGCAGACCGAGACCCGATGAAGTGATACCACCCTGCACATCAATATGCAATCGATTAGGTCAGATCAGTGACTCTAATGCGAGCAGAACACAGAGCCAGCCGAGGCACTCACAATAACCACGTAAGGCGCCTCCTTGGGTTTCGCAGCATGCTCTGCAGTCACAGCCTTGCCTTCGCCGAAAACAGGCCCTGGCTCGGCTTCGTGAAACTCGTCCGCTTCCACTCGGAAACGGATTGGCTCATCACGGTCGAGGTACGCACGATCTTCCTTAGGGACCATCAGAGGATCCTGCTCGATCTGTTCGTCGTCTGCCGGATTCAGCACCCAGAACCAGGCGCGTTCTGTGTGGTCGTATCCGCGTGGCGAGGGGATGAGCGTCGCTGGAATGTAAATATCGTCGTAGAAGCCCATGCTGACCCGAATGCCGTCTTCGTTGGAAGACTTGATCTTGCCCAGGAGCACCTCTCCGATCATCGGTCGGAAAACGACGAGTCGGAACGTTACCTGGTAGTAGAGGCAGCCATCACCCCAGCGTACTTTTCCAGCGGAGCAGGAGAGCAGATCATGCAAGCAGACGCAGAGCCCAACATCTTGCAGCACCTTGTTGGCGAACTTGACATTAATGGCTTCGTGGATTGCTGTAGCTGCTTCCTTGCGGAACTCTTTCGCCTCGATCCTGATCGTGTCCTGAAAGAAAAACGTAGGGTGGCAACAAAAATTGAAAGAGAGCAGAAGCAGGACCAACAAGTGATTAGCGCAACACCGCCAGCAGGCAACCAGACAAGCATGCAGTTTTCTGTCGAGACTGTGACTCACGACCAGGTTGGCGAGAACGAACATCGAGGCTACATCGGCTCGCACGTGTCACGCATCCATCCTAACGCAGGTGCACTCTTGATTTCAGCACAGCCTGGTAGGCCAACTCTGCGCATCATGCGGCATGAAGACCAAGCTCGTGAAGGTGGGGGTGTAGAGGTTCAGCTCGACTGCTTCTTCGCGTGTTTCGATTTTTCTGATGGCGGTCGGCGGAAGAGCGGTTCAGGTTTTGCTTCGATGGGCGCAAGCCCACAACCCTAATATGAGTCTCACGTGCACAGGAAGCAGAAGCTTCGGAACAAGCGGACGACGAAGGACGCGGCTGACAATGCTGACGTCCAAGGATTTGTTGATTTGACCCTGAACACTTTCGGTCCCCTTTGCCTTGCTGCCTCGAACGTCGGATCTACATCCAGCAATGTCGAGCAAGGTGCAGCGAGAAACGGACCATAAAAATACCCTAAGATTGGTTCAGAATGACAGCGTTCTGTGATGCCTGCTGACGCAGGAAGTGCTTTAGGGGGTCAAAGTCGCGTTGGAGGCTCTTCAACCGACATGTATGTAGCTCAAATCAACGGGAAGATGCACTTTTTGTTGTCCCTACTTCAGCTTGTATTTGACACACTCTCAACTCTTCGGGTATTGATTTGAAGCCCTTGTCTATCGCTTTTAGGAAAGACCAATCGAGCATTGGAGATGATTGGAACCACCACCGACGACCAATTCAAGAAAACCACCCAGACCGTTGGTACGGACCATCCAATAGTCGGTAACCTCAACAATCAGGTGATGAAGACCCACAGCCCAGATGAGGTGCGCATCATTTTCTGACCCAGATCTTGTTGAGAATAAATTGTGTCGTTTAATGTCTACACTGCTCGCTGCTCGCTTCCCTTCCCATTCTGCCCTTTGTACTATGTACAATGGCATGGCCTCACAGAACTTCGTTGGTGAGGTAGGCTCGGATGACGCGGCAGTGGGCGCCAATTAGACAGCAAATGGCGGATAGAAGGAAATCCGGTGGACGCACGACTGAACAGGATGGATGAGATAAAGCCCAAGCTTGACAGGCGAGGGAACCCAGGCCAGTGAAATAGCAAAAAGCTCGCAACTTCGCAACGATGTTCACGTCTGGCTTTGGAACAACCGATCGTTCCCTCTCACCGTCGTAGATAGCGGGCTGCACGTCTCCTTTCAATCCAGTGATGTTTGCGGGCACGCATGACAAGGCGAGCCACCACACTATTAAAGTACTTTCCGTCGGTTCAAGAGTAGGGGTGCTGGTGTCAGTTGCTTCGTGTTTGCTATGTCTCAAAACAAAGGCATGCAAATTACCAACATCGAGCGCAGAACAGTCCACAAAATTCCTGAAAGCGGCATGTCGAGCTTGAACAAGCTACTGAAACTTGAAAGCCAGAAGTGCTGCCAAGTGCAAAGGTGAAGTCATCACGAACTCATCGGTCACTACCACAAACAACTAATAGTATGTTGAGTGCCATAGCGGCGGGTGTTCCGCCCAACTCTCGCTGCGCTGAATGCAGGTCCGTGCCCCCGTGCGTGTAGTGTTTCGTAGTTCATCGTTCCATGTTTGGTATTCCAGCATTACATGGCAGACTCGAATGTAAATGCCACCATTTATGCAATGCCCATGTGGCAAATATAGATGGCTCTCCATCGAACGTGGCGAATAAAGGAATCCTGATATGGACAGCTGTTATCAGAGCCCTCGTCGGACAGTGCAGAGTGCTCGAGAATTGGCCAGATCCAGCTCGCGCAGATTAGTCAACCCACCGCTGGGCCGGTTCGTGTCTGCCTTCGTACATGGTGCTCGAGCTCTGACTTCGCGCTGAAGCATCTATCCTGCATTATCGTCAGCGATCCAGAAAGGCATGACTGGACATGCAGCATCGATACCCAGTCATGCTTCCGACAACTAAGCGTAAGCTTCCTCAACGATGACGAACATCCCGCCTTACCCCCAGTCCATCCCCTTGTCCGTGCCAAGCTCCAGCTCGCAGGCCATGCAGGAGGCCGAGCTTGTTGCTCTCGTCTTAGCTATGCGGCTGCAGCCAGGCGCAGCAGCAGGTGCTGGAAGTACGGGAAGAAGAAAAGAAGCAGGTCATGCAAGCAAAGACTCGAGTGATGCCGCAGTCGCTTCGGATCTCGCTGCAGTGGTCCAAGAGCCAGCGGTTGTAGCGGACACTTTGGACCTTTGCCATCGCAAGATCGAGAGCGTCCCAGAAGAAGTGGTGCAAATTCTCAAGGATGAAATTGTGCGCTTGGCTCTCGGATACAATCTCATCACGACCCTGCCAGCGTCGTTTTCCCAACTTTCAAGGCTACGCTATCTCAACGTTCGTGCCAACCTGCTCACCGTCTTTCCAACAGTCGTCACCGAGCTTCCGTGCATTGAGATATTGGACATCAGTCGGAACAAAGTCCGTTCTATGCCAGAAGCCCCTGGGCGACTTCTCAATCTACGCGTTCTTTCCATTTCCAATAACCGACTCAAGCGCCTTCCGCACTATGTCGCGCAGATGCGGCATCTCAAGATTCTCAAAATTGAGCACAACCCACTTATATGGCCACCCCCTCACATCGCTACGGTGCCCACCATCACGACTGCTGAAACTGCCGTCGCAGCGGTGGCCGCTGCCTCTCCACCTCCGAATACGCCGGCAGCTCAGAAAGAGATGGCAAAAGAGCGCGAGAGGCTACTGGCGACTCGTAGGAAAGCAGAGGATCGGACCATGAACGCTTGGATCAAAGATCTGCAAAATTGGATCGAAGATCAGACCGGTGAGCATTGATTGCTTGATATATGAAGTGCGAGCGACACTCATGCGTGGTGCTCATTTCAACACAGCTACTGGTGCGAGGAAACATCCAATGGAAGCCAACGAGCTGGATGCATTGGAGAGCGATGTCATGTCCCTCCCTGTCCCCAAGCCCGAAACTTACACTGCGCCTGTGTTGGAAAAATCCATTGCTGCTGCAGAATTCGACGTGCCATCAACGTCAGCTGCAACCACAGCTCTCGGTGAAATGCTGATCCAAATGGGATCTCAAGCTTCGTCGAGATCGACGACTCCGGCCAGCTCTGAACGCAGGCCTTCGCCACCACCGCCAAGTACGCAGTCCATACCTGATCCGGTCCCACCATTACCAGCCGAATTTTCGCCCTTGAGCTCGCCAGCTACGGAGCCAACGAGCGTATTTAAATCCGAATCACTACAAGAACCTCGGCAGCCAACGCTGGCGGAGCTAGCGGTTCTCGAGCTTGCTGACCCGCTGCCGCCGCTGCCACCGCCGCCAGCTGCTTTTCGAGGACGCCACAGTCGAGATGTCTCCAGTAGCTCGTCGGCCTCATCGGCTAGTCTGTCAAAATTGTCTGGTAGGCTACCGAAGCGCCAAAAGTCGAGCGAGACTGTTGACATGATTGACGGACCGGCTCAAGACACTTCGTCCCCGTGGCAAGCATTCACGACAAGCACTGATGGTGATATTGGCGACCGAACAGTCATCGAACAACCTACGCAGCCACTAATTATCAAGAAGTTGACGAATCAATTGACCTACAGCCAAGATACAGACCAGAGTGCATTTGTGTCCCATTCGCCACCAGCCAGCCTTAACGGCGGCTCGACTTTGCTGCCCTCAGCCACTTTGCGGCACCCCCCATCTGGCCTGCGCAAACTCAGTTTACCCTCGACTGTTGCTGCGCAGGCTGCAGCTGAGAACTTGGGGACGCCACCACCCTCTTCATCATTTGCGGCGGCCACTCCAGATGCATCTTACCTGCGTCGGACGCCGGGTGGCAGCACGCAGATACCGATTCTTCGCGGCTCGCCATCGTCAGCGAATGGCCACTCTGCTTCCGTCGATGTGGAGCGCAATATCTATTTCAAGCGTCTCTCTTCCATGCCACGAGCGATGGCTTCCAAGGCGATTCCCCCGCCGGTATTGATGTTCATCGATGCCACACGTGGCCTTCTTTTCGCCTTGTCTCAGATGCACACCGCACTGAAACAGTACATCTTCTTCACCCTTGAAGAGCGCATCTCTATGCAATTCAACCGCATCTTGGAAGTCGCTGGTGGGTCCATGGCAGGACTCATTAGAGCGCTCGATCGTTTCGACTCGCTTTCAAGGAATGGTAACGCGGAGGCGGGCATCGTTCGCGCAGTGTTGGCAGCATGCAAAGATAGCATATCCACGTTTCGACGCGTCGCATCCGTTTTGCAACTCCAGCTCAAGCCATTGCAGCAAACTGCCGATGTGCGATACAGCCGGACCTTCGTTATGATGCTCTACGGTACCATTGTTGAGCTTAGCAACAGCTGGAAGTCGATGTCTCCTCATATTGAGGCAGTGCAGCCTTTCCTGCAACACTCCGAGGTGCTTACGATTGGCGACAAGAGAATGGACAGTGCTCTTTCTCCCATCGCTGAAGGGATACCACAGTCTCGTCCGCGGCATATAGCGAATCCTTCCGTCACCAGACCTCAGCGACGGCGCCATGCTGGCTCTTTCAGCGCGAAAGACGTGGCACAGGGAGCTCTGCTCAACGCAACCGCAACAGCCCCTGCTCATACGGAGACATTTGACGTAGACGACATGGAGCGCGCACGAAAACGAGGTGCAGGGGGTCGCAGCCGACTGGGCAGCGATGACATCTCTACTGGTGTCATGTTTGAGCAAGACAGGCCCTTGGCGACTCGCAGCGCCGAACCAAGAACCTCTGCATTCACCATTAGGCAGACCCCATTTATGCCAGAGCTCCGACAACACGACAGGAAGGACAGTTCATCTACCGCACCTATGTCGGCTTTGGATGTTTGGCATACGCCGATGTCCGCCGTGCGCACGGCGCCCTTGCAGATGCAGCAAAAGCAATCGCTAACTCCGCTCAGGAGAGAACTTGCCAGTCCTCTCGATGATCATCTTCTCGAGCTGGTGGACAAGGTAACCATGACTTCAGCCTCCGTTTGGGCAAGTCTGCTGGGTCGAAGCCTGGATGAAGATATTGCACATTTCACGTCACGCGACTCTCAGCCCAGTACACCGGCTGCGGAGTCTCAGCCGCCTTCGCTAGGGTCTAAGCTGACGGAGCTACGCGGCAAATCTACCCAATGCGACCAACTTACTGGACTGCTGCGTTCCACGCTACAGGAATGTAGATCAGCTTTCCAACGGCTGGAAGATGGCGCCGCGCATGAGGAGTGCGTTGCGCGGCTCTGGGACGAATCAAACAGACTTGTCAGGGTGAGTATACCTTGGTTTCGCTCTCAGAGCACGAGATAATGACGTGTATTGACACACTCACTGGTCATTCACAGCTCATCGTCCAAATCTCGACCCTGATCAAGGGCATCTCTGCTGAGTACAGCTTCCAAAAGGAGCTGCTGGGCAGTCTGGGTGCGTTAACCGCTTCGTGCACGGAGTTGATGATCCATATGCACTTCTTGTCGCCTGAAAAGATGCGCACTGCATCTGCATCTGCGTCGATAGCGGCATCAACAGCTGCAGCGGCAGTACAAGCAATTCGCGGTCCACATACGGCCCCCACCCATGTAGCCTAGTGTTTCCGTTGTATTCTTTCACGATTTGATCGTATGTGATGCAGTTGCTTGTATGCTACAATGCGATATTCATCCGCTAATCAGTTGATCTATAAATTCCATGCTTGCTGTCTGCATAATTAGCTGTCACGGTAATAACGACGGCCTTTGCATCCACAGAGTGTCATTGAAAGTCCGCTTCCGCATGTCGTAGCAGTCGTTCTTGGCCATGAATGCCGCGATTCTGTCAATTCGAATACCTGATTCGATGGAATCCTCGGGTACCGGCAAGGGAAGGTTCCAGGAGTCCAGCTGTAGAGCGCACCCCTTGTCCTTCTCCCACTGCCATCCGAAACATTCCTTGCGCTGCGAAGTGCGAATGAAGCAGAGATTCAAGAGGAGTAAGGATCGTGCACCAGGGTGCACGTCATCTTGGAGCGGGTTCCTTGGACAATCACTCACCTCTTCGCACAAACCAATGCATAGGTCAGGGTTGTACGCCTTCTTGAGGTACTTGCCCCAATCTGGGCCAAAGCTGACGGGATGGGAAATGGCGAAGCGGTGGTGTTCCAGGCGAAGCGTGTGTTGTGAGGCGGAAGGTCTACGCGTATACTGCTCCAGGGCTCCTTTCAGGTCCGATGGGAGAATGTAGTCTGCGTCAGAGCGATGGAAGAGGACGTCGTCAGTCGCCCGCCCGGCGTGGCACGAAGAAACGGAGTGGCTGGCACCTGCTAATTTGTGCCACTCACGCGCTATATCACAGCGGCGAATCATGTCGCCTTTCGGGCCAAATATGCGCTGGAGCAAGTTAAGCGCATCCTGCTCGAATAGCCGCAGGCCGTATATCTCGGCGTTGGAAAGGTGATGGAGCGACAAGACGGGCAAGTACCAGTTTTCCTGGACGAAATTCAACGAACGCACTGGGTCGGGATTGAACCTGTGTGTATGCGATAGGAATGAGACGGGCATGTCAGAACATCTGGTGCTTCATTGAATATTTGAGTCCATGGCGAAGTGGGTTCGGGGTGCGCATACAGCCAATTCAGCTCAAGCTAGGGACTCAGACTCACAGATGTTCGCCGGCATTGGGGCCCTTGATCGTACCGTTGGTCAGGTCCATGATGACCCTGCCGAGAATGACGTCGCCGGCGCCTTCCTCTGCGATGGTCTGATCGATGCCGCCGTTGAACCTGAACGGGTCGTCTTGCAGCATGTGATCCAGCAGCCCCTTGCTCAGTGCATACCCGGACCCGCCGTGCGCCCAGAAGAGCTTGCCGTCTCCGAACAAGCGTGCGGTGCTGCAATTAATCTCCCGGCTGTCGCGGTGGCCGAGGTAGTGAAGCTGCGCCGCGTCGTGCGCGGACAGGTAGCGTAGGATGTTTTCGGTGAACAGGAACGTATCCCCGTCCGCAGCAACGTGCCAGTTGAAATCACGGTGCGCGCGGTAGGCGTCCCCGTGTATCGGCATGATCTTGAGCGCATCCAAGTCCCAGAACTCGCCTCCATGGGGAACGGGTAGGCCCGATGCTATGAGGCTGTGCAGCCGGTAATACGTCTTGAATACCGGGAGGGCCTGCAAGCGCGGCGAAATATCCTGGAAATCGCAATCGTACACCACGTTAGCGATACTTTCCCGTCATTCTTGCCCTCTCACGCTGCAGGCAAGCCTATTACCGCCAAAAGATGAGCTTACCTGGAGGATGTTTTTGACATACACGTCATCCAGCGTGAACTCGACATCCGAATAGTACTTGCGAAGCGGTGAGGACGGCATAGGCGGACTGTGCATGATCTGCACGGGCAGCCGATCAAACATGACAGTATAGCCCGTCTTGAACAGGAAGACCGTCGTGCGCGCCGTCTCCTCGAGCTCATGATGTCGAACGTAGCCTCCGGGCAGTGAGAATCTCGCTGCTGCGTCCACATCCCCAACTGCTGCCGCATCGCCTCGCTGCCCACCGACGGTGCGCCAGTTTGCCCCGTCGCGGCTCGTGAACATGATCAGGCCGAGGAGGCAGCAGGCACAGACCGCACTCGCAGCGACAACAGCTTTGAATATCAACGAGCGTCTCCCCCTCCGTTTCTTGTTACCCCTCAACAACTTGCTGAACGCTGAGCTGCGCCGCTTGGCCGCTCGTGCGCCCCATGGGACAGATTTGAAGCTGCTGCTGTGCTCGCCGTGCAGAAGTCCTTCGTGATCCTTTCTCGTCTCGTCGTCCGCTGTGTTCAAAGACCATGGTGTGCCTGTACCATCTTCATCGTCGTCATCATCGTCGGTGTCTTTTTCTCCTTCTGGCAGGACCTTGTACAGTGTTGCTCCGTCCCGGTGAGCAAAGGCCGGGCCGTCGTGTGCCGTGTAGGACCGCAATGTGCGACTGACCATCGGGTGGAAGTTAGACCTGGCTGCCCCTTCGCTGCCGGTCTGCACCCTGCTCATCACGTCTGGCGAGCTTTGCCGGAAGGATGGCAGCAGCGTCTCTGGCTGTCGTGAATGGGAACAGAGAGTCAGGTGTGGAATGTCTTTCAGCTGTGCAGGCGGGCCTGACATTCGGCGTGCCGCTTTTAAAAATCCGGTCGTTCTGCAAGCGAAACGTTGCTCCACGGCTCGGCTCTCGCTCTCTGCTCTATAAGTGCTGTAATGTATCAAATGCGATAAGGCAGGTTGTACGCTAACCAGACCATCCGTTCGCTTTCCGTGCTTTTCTAGACTGGAGCGTGGAGCTGAGTCGCTGGGGTGGTTATGCGTGGTGCATGGTAGGCGATCCCGCTGGTACTGCTATATCGCTGCTGGTGACGATAATGACGATGGAGGAGGACCGTCCAGTAATTGCTCATCGCTTGCTCTACACTGCACAAATGTCCGCGCACGTGAGTGAAGGCGCCACCACGAGGATGGATAAGGCCTTGGATGTGTGCAAGATGAACACAGAAGCCCTTCTCGTTCTCGGTCCTGCAGCCGGTCCTGCCCCGTGAGGCAAGTGAATCAAATACAATCCGCACTACACAGCCAGAGTGTGCGAGCGGCCGCAGGTGGAGCACTGCAGCAGCAGCCTGCACCCATGCGGGACTGACGGCCAACGCCGATGCAATGAGGCAGCACGGAGCGTGAGCACGAGCCGTCGCGCTACACGAAGCCATCAATATACTCAATAAATTAACTACCACAGGCACAAGACCGCAAGCCATGTTCATAGAGAGGCATCACAGCAGTATGTACCACAGGTCACAGAGGAGGCACTTGATGAATGGGAACCACTGACGACAGAAGCTACGTTACGGGTCCAGGACATGACTCATCGGATGCGGTAGCGGAACAAAGCGTTCCTAGAGGATTCCAATACTTGTCTGAGCGGTTCACGCCCATTAGGGTTGTAGAGATGCCTCAGGATATTCGATTGGAATCACATCTATTTCAGGCATATCCTTCTCTTTCTCTTCCTTCTTTCTCCTCTTTGCGTAACAAAGTAAAATATCAGGTCCTTCCTCATGAGCGCTGTAGCTTTCTACTTCCACGCTCAGCGCTCAACAAGAAGGCACCGAGAGCGATTCTTTCCTGTTTGTCTTCAGATGGACCGGAGGGTAGTGGCCGTTTTTTGGCAAGGAAGCTTATGCTGCAAAGCGCAAAAGGTAGCTTTCCCGTTTGTCACCTGGCGTGTCATACATACATCTACGCTCATCAAGAGAACGTCTTTCGCACGTATCGGCACAGCCAATCTGATCATCTGTATCATCGACTTGAACTTCATTTTCTTGTACTCTTCTTTGATGAGGTCTGTCTCAGAAGACGCCTTGAATCCCGACCTTGGCGTTCGCCTCCATAAACGTTCGTCTCGTCATCTCTTGTGCACCCCCCCTGCAATGTCAAAACTCGAGACTCGCTCGAGGTGCCGTCTGTATGGCGAGACCAAGTCTCATCGTAGCATCGACCAAGGAATACGTTGCATGACACCACACGCAACAGGATGGATTGCAGTGGACGCTGTCAATGAGCGCGCACTTCGTCGCGTGCAACCGACATGAGTCACGATAGTTTTTGCGCTTTGCGGGTTACAGACGCCCGCAGCGATGCCTTGCGGAGAACTACGAACGGGCCATGACATCTGTTCGCCGCTCCGCCTCGTGCTGATCCGGTGCCTGAAATCAATCAAAGCGAGAGATCTCACCACCACCCTGGAGAAGGCGACAGGGTGCATGTAGTATGTAATTGGCTCGCTGTTCTGATCCAAATACGGATTTGGCTGGTGAGTTCGCCAATAGACAGGCAGTCGGGCACCACGAGATTTGCAAGATTGCGATATCCGTCGAGCACTATCGTGCGACGCGAGCAACGTCTAACTGAGAGCGAATCACTTCGAGACCTGACTCACAAAAGTGTCGGTATCCACCTGTTGGCTGGGAGCGTAGCATAGCAGCTGCACAGGTACATAACCCGCAGCCACGATGGAAGGGAACAACGAAGACACTTGGCTGGATAATCTGATCAGTGATGGTCTTCGCCAACAAGAGTTGCAGCTGCAGCAGCCGCATGACTCGCCTGTGACGGCATTTGTCAATCCTGCTATGGGAGATCAAGCATTTCCAGACACATTTGACATGCGCAGCAATAGCACGAAGACCACCTTCCCCAATTCATCGGTCTCATCTCAAACATGGCAAGCGCCTACCACCAACCCAAGCTCGTCTGAGCTACCTACTTCATTTGCGTTTGACTTCTCCATGCTGATGACAGCTCCTCAGCCACCTGTCATGACAACGCCGCCTACCAATAGTGCTACGACCCAGTTCTCGGACGCCAAGAAGGACTACGATGCGCTCATGTCTTTCCTCTTCGACCCAACCGATGCTCAGGATATGATGGACCTCATGCTTGCCTCTCAAGCTCTGGACGATTTCAGTCCCGAGTCAAACGAGTCCATACCGATCACTTCTTACAGCGGCCAGCAACCGGTACTGAAATACAACGGCGATTTTCAGTCGCAGCCCCAGCTGCAGCAGTCTTGGGCCCCGCTCAGTGCGCCTGCCCCGCAGACGACGCCATTGTGGGATGCACAGAGCCAGCAAGCTCACATGTTTCCGACGCAGAAGCCGCTAGCCCCCGCTATGCCGGACAACTCGAGCGTGACGGGCGCCACCGTCCTTTTTGGCCACAGTGCATATATGAGTTTCGATGTGAACGGCAAGGGTACTGTCACCAGCGGCGCAGCAGGCGAGCAAGCCTCTCGCGCGGGTGGATCCTCGCCAAAACGAAAAGCCCAAGCGCTGGAGCAAGAGTCTTCCCTGGCGGGCTCTCGGACTGTTCCGGACCAGGTCTACGAGGAGCGCCTAGCGGAGCGACGAGGTATCACTGGCCGCATTGCCGGAAAATCGGTCGTAGAAGTCAGCATCAAATGCGGAGAGCCGACTTGCAACAATATCGACAAGATTGTCATCTTGGCAAATGCACTCTTCCACCACAGCGACTCGCCGAAACAAGTCTCTGAGGACTACCGCATCACTGCCAAGTGTCGGCCGTGCCAGCTGATGGATAAGCCTTCCCCTGGCGCGTCATTTTCACCGTCGAGGGAGGCCGGCATTACAAAACCTGGCTGGGGCAGGCGGGTTTTTCAGAAGTGCGATGTGTGTGAGCAAGCCCTTGGTGAGGTCATCATTGAGGCGGTCGTGTCCAGTCCCGAGGGCTCAACAGACTCGAGCAGCAGCGCCCCTTCCGGTGCAAGCAGTGGCGGGCTCGACGAGAAGCAGCGTATACCTGTGGAGGCCATCTGCGCTGCCTGCGATGTCGCGTTTGCCTGGTGCACCCAGTGTGGTGGGGGCGGAGCGTACCGCACGGGTAAATGGCGACCAAAGCAGCTTTTCCCACCAGGCAGGAAGACATGTCGGCTCCGCACAATTCGACTGTCCGGCACGCCATCGGTGGAGATCTTCGACATTGGCGTGCCGAACGAGCCGGTACCTCGGGATGTCATCGACGGGTGTCAGGAAGTGTTCGAAACCAAATTCTTGTTCAGATACGCCAAACCGCAATGTGGGTGTTTGTGTTTAGTCTTCCGCGTTCAAGTCATTCAAGCTGACATGCGCCGAATTGACGTCCCCGTAGATTTGAGACACAACATCACGTTTGAAAAGCTGGTGCAGCTGATGGGGGACTACTGGAGCTGGATCGAGCAGCGGCTGATGGCTACAGCAGATACGCTGCCCGATGACATGCGGCGCGTCATGGGCATCATGCGAGGACCTTTCACGGTCGCAGGCAAAGGCAAGGTCGCGACGAGCGGCGTACTTAGCTATCAAGTGATGGAATGGAAGCCGCTTGACCGCACGATCTGCCTTGTAGGCTCAGGAATCGCGCTTACGGGTCTCAGTAGTGCGCGCTGGATGCTGCTGCACGGTCGCTCGATCACCTATCGCATCTTTCTTCTTTGCCACGAGCCTCCGGACCAACATCCCGACGATGCGTCATACATCGAACCTTCAGTGCCAGAGCCCCTTGTTCAGCACCCGACACGCTTGTACCGGCTAGAACTGATTTCAAATCCGGAGCGCAGACGATACTTCCTCACCAACGGGTGGAGGGAGAGCGGCCGGACGAAGTTCGACGAAGCGAGCGCGTCAAGCGCCAAGGCGTGGTTGCGGTACGATCAAGCCACTCGGCTCCAGCTGGATATGGGCTTAGCGTCGTCTTTCCCGCAGCAGGTCCCAGACGGCAGCCTGTACACTGGTGGCCGTAATCAAAATGACCTCGTCGAGTTAGAGTTTCCATTCGATTACGGCACGGGCGTGCCAGACGCAATAGCGACGATGGTACGTGTCAGCAAGGCAAAGACCATCATGCGGCCCCTGAGGGGCGATGAACAATCCAACCACCCCAACTATCCTTGCGTCAAGATTGGACCTCAAGAAGCTTGATTCAGTTTCCCCAGTTTTAGCATTGGTTTCTCCTGCTGTATCATTTCGCACGCATTTCATGTCTCTGTATAGTCTCAAAAGAAGTAGGGAGCAGATCTATTCGATGCGGCAGAGAAGATAGCTTCCATTCTCGAGGAATGTCTGCAAGAGAAAGCGAGCTTCTAGTACTAGCAGAATAACACAGATTCGGAATCGCATCGCATTTGACGAGAGTCGTAAGGGCCCATGCGTTACTGTTGCTGCTGCTGCTGCTGGGACATCATGGGAATGCCTGGAAGGTATGATTGTGCTGGTGCGCACTGCCGCGCCTCGCGGCTGTTTGTTCGAACAGTGGTGCGAGCCGCTGGCACCACTGCCAACGGTCGAAGGATACACAGACGCAGACAGCATCTGGGTGGATGTAGACGATCCTGAGGTGGAACCTATGGGAGAGATGTCGGTACCAGATCGAGAATGACAATCTATTTACTATAGAAGCTTGAAGACTCACCAGAAGGCCGCGTTGAGGTAGACGGTGTCATCGATCGGCGTGGACTTGACTTGCGCAATCTTGTACCTGATGGTCACAGGGGCATGGAAGAGTAGAGCGAGTTGACGGACAACCTGGAGTGCAGCGACTCGCTGTTGACTTTAACTCCGATGAGCACACAGAGTAGTTCGAGAGCGATACCGACCTGGCTGATCGACTTGGAGTCCTGGTACGCGGGTGACGAGCGCACCTGCACCCACAGTAACACGATGGGAAGTGACATGGCGACGTTGATGAGGAGCAGGAGGAGCGCGCGAGCTCTGCGCATCTTCTTGCCCCGATTGATGCTGTGCCCATCGGTCGTTCGTTGCGGGGAACCCCACATAGCGGTGAGAATGGTGGTAATGGGAGCAGGACGTTAATGAGATTCATCACCTTGTCAACGATACCCTTTGTGCTCGAAGGCGACGAGAGGATACCATGGGTGTGCGGGATCAGGATGACGAGGAGGCTCCTGCTGAGGAATATCGGTCCTAGGCTGAGTAGAGCGGTCACTGTCATGTGCAGATCGGCCAGTGATCTAGACGTCTTGGGTATCTTCAAGATGACCAGGCAGATGACAAAGGCAACGATCGGAACTTTGATCAGGCTCGTGGCCACATCGACAGCATTGGCGGGATCCTCTCGTAGAAAAGGCGCATACCGGCGCCAAACGCGATGACAGCGTAGAAGGGGATGAAGGTGATTGAGGTGACGAAGTCGCGATTGCTAAGTATCCACACCGTCATGGGGTGGACGTGAGCGCAGCCATGGAGTCTGGTTTGTCAGTCATCTCGAACAAGTTCGATTTGTGGTCTCGTGATGTTGCGGCTGTTAGAGACCTCTGAGTGTCAGTGAACCGTTGGTGGGATTCAGAGCAGGTTGAGCCATGGTAGAACCTGAGCTTGAGTTGGGAGGATGAAGGGAGACGGAGATTGGGTGCCCATCTCAAGAATCAGCTTCTATATAAACCATTTTCGCTATGGCCACACACGTAGTAGCTTCCCTGGAGAAGGCCGTCATATCTTCGGTATTACGTGTTATATAGTCAAGCTCCCCGGCAGCTCAAAGGCATTCCATAGCCGCCGACCCTTGATGTTGATGTGACATGGAAGGTGTCGCTGAAACCTAGTGGGGGGGAGAGGGGTGGAAAATGGATGGACATGGATTGGAGTTAGATAGCGGGCGGATCCACTCTAGAGAGCAGCATTCATGTACACTATGCAAGTGATGTTCATTACGTAAGCGTTCTGCTTGAAGCTTTGAATTTGCTCCGCTGTACGTCACTCTGGTCTGAGGGGGCCTGTCCGGCTCAGATGTGCCGTACTGCCGGCGAGACCATTGGAAGTGGTTTCGGCAGAGACTTGCTCCCAAGGCCCGAAGGTCAAGGAGCGATCCGAAGGCAGCCGCCAGGCGCAGCACCCTCTATGCATATATGACTGGCAGGCACTGGTCTGCACGGGTTGGCTTGCTCATCTTCTGGGGCAGCGTTCCTTCATGACACCGCTCTGAGGGCCGGCACTTGATATAGCCAATTTGCAGACCACTGGATATATGGGCGTCCACCAGGTGTGACGCGGAGGGTGAGTTGGTAACGCAGTACGAGCAATACCAAATACGATGAACAGCGTTGAGACTATGTCCACCATTCACAGATGGTGGAAAACGAGGATGGGACTACAAAGAAGAAGTATTGCTCGTGCAGGAAGCGAAAGATATAAGTTGTTTGACTTCCACTTCGTTGTTATGTGCGGCTTAATATCTCTCCGGCTTGCTACGCTTCACCTGTTTTCACGTGATTTACTTCCGTACTTGATATGGCCCGGCTGCCGACTCCTGCACAGATTCAATCCTTCCATTCATCGGTTGCTGCAACCTCTCCACCGTCCCAACACCTACCTCTATGTAGCAGGACAAATCAGCGCGCCCAGCCTTTAGGCCGATTCACCATGGATGCGAATAACAGTTGGTACGGGCAGTGTGTGCCCTAAAGAACGCCTGAGGACGCAATGTTGCAGCAGCAAAGGGTGATGTGACAAACTGAGATGGTTGAACACCCGAAGAACCGGCAATATTCCGAGCGGTTCAGAAAGCAGGCAGCAAAGGGCGAACGAAGCTCGAACACACAGGCGAATCGCACTTGAAAAACTCCCTGCAAACATCTTTCATGTAAAAGTCCATACTGTTCTCGTTCGCCTACATACCAATACAGTGGGACCGAGGATCATGGGACCGACCCAAAAACGATGAGAACCTCTGGGAACAGCTGAGACAACCGAAAAGGGCAAGAGACTGTTGACATGTTGCGGCGTCGATGCTGAAGCTGTACGGACGGTGCAGACAGGCGACGTTGTATCTACTTATACAACTGTTACGTAGACTCTGCGTAGAAGATGCTCTGCATAGGGCACCCAGTGTCCAGTGCATTTGTAGCATGAGTGGGGCTCAGTCCCAGTGCCGATCGCTAGCGACTGGTAGGTGGACGTGGAGACCGGCGGCTAGACCTGGCCAGCCGGTGTTTCATTAGGCTATGCCTGGCTGGAATGACAGTCACATTTAGCATCTATGGCTTCTTCGGTGTAAAACATGTACGCCTGACAAGCAATACAAAGGAAGGCTTTCACTTTCAAGTCGATCGGTAATCCCAGCCTGGGAGATTGAAGAGGGCACGTCGCTTGTAACACAACTGATACGCGCCTCCGTTCAGTGCCGCTTTCTCCGATGCCATTTGCACCTTGTCATCGTCGAAAAAGTACCACTGTGGAGAACGAATGCAGGGTCGGTGGCAAGCACAAGATGAAGAGCGTTCACTTGGTCAGCACGCTGCACATTGGATCTGTTCGCCGTGGCCCAAGCGCAAAGTGGACGTACTTGGCCTCTCCATTTGGAATAATTAGTGTAGTGACCCGTGCTCAGCGTCCCCTCATGCACCACAGTCGTAAACAGGTCGTACATGTACGCGCTGCGAATTCGCAAAGAAAAGGTTGGGAAGCGGTGGAAGTAAGACAGCATAAGGGTGCACATCAGCATTTCGTCGCGGCATTCGTCGTCAGACAAGCTGCGCACTGGCAATCCGCCGGTCAGTGTGTTGCACGACTCACTCTGGATCCTGATCCACGCGACTCCCGTCCCCGCGTATCGTGCCGGTGGTGATTTCGCGCAAGTCGAGCTCGAGGGGAAAGCGGACCTGCGCATCAATCTTTGCCGCCGTCGCGCTGTGCTCGAAGCGCTGAGAGCATGCGGGGGCGTTGGTGTGCGGCAGCAAGAAATACGAATGTCAGCTTTCTCAATCTCCTGGCTTTGCCCTTTCCATAAACAGACAAGCGTACCTTGAGCTGAATGCACAAAATTGGCGGGAAGCGCGAGATGCTCAACTGCTTGGTGGCTTGTGAGCCCATGCCGCACTGCGCGCACGTGTACGCCGCTGCGTCGAGCGTTTCAGCGCGACAGTATCTGCAAAACGGGATGGCACCACGGATGACAGTCAATATTCTGCTCTCCCGCATTTTCTCGACAGCACGCTGCGCGGAAGTCCCCACCCTTGTAAACAGGCGAGTAGGTCCTGCTCCTCGGGACCTTCCGAGTCCTTCTGCATCTTGATGGCCGCTTTGGTAGCCTCGATCCCCTTCTTCTTGAACCCTTTCTTGTTCCCGTCCGCTGCAGCATCGTCCAGCGCGCCACCAGAAGCGCCGTTTCCTTTCTTGGCATCCGTCCGGAGGTCCAAGCTGAGGTCCAAGAACGGATCCAGAGTGCTGTTCATCCGACCACAGCGCTGGCACGACACGTCGCTCTGCATCACCCCGGCAAAGGTGCGGTGCACAACGCAGGGGCACATGCGAGGGTGCGAGCCGGCACCCTGGTGGCTCCACGGGTCGTGATGGCTACTGTTGCCACTGCTGCCAGGTGGCAAGTTCGGATCGAGCGCATCGAGCGGCAAGGGCGGCGCGACATCTTCAAAGGGAAAAGCAGGGATGGCGCTCGGCCTCTCTGCTTCGCCTGCGCTGAATTGGCTCAGGCCGGACGTGGAGCTTACCAGCGCGTTGTGCACGCCGTTCAGTGCGCTAATGAAGAGCTCGTGTGCGTCGTGCTGTCCAGTCGACGTCAGCTCGGCCGACTCTCGCGCGAGCCACAGGCAAAAGAGAAAGTTGGTTGGCCCGAACGCGGCGTGTGCACTGTTGCGAGAAAAGAACTGGGGAAGGAGTGGGCAGTAGAGCAAGGATGCGCGCATCAGCCTCGTATACGGCATACTGTGTTCTCGGTTTGAGCGCACCTCGCTGAAGACGGCGTCCATCTCGCACGCTAGGCAGTTTTCACGATTGGTGCATAGCGCAGAATTGTGCCGGTCGGACAAAAAGTAGTTGCGGAGCATGGGGTTGTGGATGAATGATTGCAGGATCACGTTCATGTAGCACGTTGCGCCCATGTTGCGAAGCCCTCGTGGACCTGTGAGACCACGGTCAGTGGCGAGCGTCAGTCACAGGCGGGACAGACCGGGTATGTTTCTCTTCCCAGGAGCGGGAGATGGACGTACGCTTGCATGCGATCGCTAGCTTGCGCTTCAGTTCAAGCTCAACTTTTGCAGTTTCTAAGTGAGAAGCAGAGTTTAGGTTTAAAGGTTTGTCGAGGAGGAGATTGCCGGTTTCGGGCCTCACCTCCGTCTCGCGCATCGTCTCCGTTTGCCATATGCGTCCTTCTTGCCCGTGCGCTTTCCTTCCTATACACCTCGTCGAACTTGGCATCAAATACGTAGTCTTTGCACCCTGCGCACAGGATCGTGCCGGTGTGTAGCTCGAACGCAAGTTTGTGGCCCGTCTTGCTCAAGTGCGCCAGCATGTGGGACGAGTCGCTCGGCGCAGTGTTTATGCTAGGACCGCCGTGGCAGCAGAGCGCGGCGCACTCGAAACACATGAAGGGGCGGTGCAGAGGGACAGAGCAAGTCGAGCAGGCCGGATATCGCAGCAGCTGTGCAGAGTGAAGGAAGCGAGAGAGCATGTCAGCAATTTGTGCCCGGATTAAGTGCATTTGGGCACCGCACCTTGCGCTTCTTTCTCTGGCCCGTCTTTACGTCCTCGTCCTCGTCGTCCTGAATCACCTCGCCCGCGCGGATCTTGCGTCCCCACCGCAGGCCCGCGGAAAACTTTTGCATCAGTCGGCCCGCAGATACGTTGCCGGCGCTGCCGTTGGCGTGGCCTACACCGGCGCCAGACCTGACGGCACGTGTGTGCAAGCACCCGGTGGAGCCGTGCGCATCGGGTGAGCTGCTGCTGCCGACGCTGCTTCTGCTGCTCGACTCGGCGACCCGATGCCCCGGTTCGACTTTAACAGGCGAGTAGAGCGGCATGGCTCGTGTCGCAAATGCGTCGGGATATGCAGATGGTGCCAGATGGCCGATTCCTCAAAGGAGGGGGGGGGGGACGTTGTCAGCTACAGTCCTCCCTGCCCGCGCAAGTCGGTGCACACCGATACCTTGAACGACTGGTCCTCCCGCGTCGGATCTGAGGTACTGCTCTGTCCCTCCCAGCTACCCTCCGACGGTCAGCCGCGATTCTTCCAACCGTTCTGCAGGGTGCACTTTGCGTACATGCCAAACCAGCCCATTGGTATTAGACCTTGGTATTATTGGACCTGTATTAATCAGCTTCACGCCCATAATGCACAGGGCCCCCCCCAGGTCACCAAGGTCGAGGGGGGCCATCTTCAGAGTATTGCACCGAATCAATTCCGCTCATTGTCCTGCATGGCTCTCTCTCTCTCTCTCTCGTGCGGGAGGGCCAAGGAAAGGGGATTTGCAAGGGTACAGCAGCTAAGAGGGTATAGGGCACGCAAAGCCCCACGCGACTCTTGCGCGCCGTCAGGCCGCTAATCCACAAACAGAATATCTGAGAGATTCTACTTGAGAAAATCGCACATATACCGTCGCAGACAATCTGCAGCTGCAGACGCTGCATGGGCAGGCCAGAGATGCTTGGCAAAACCTCTTTGTTCGCTCTCTCGCCCTTTTCTATCTTGGTCAATCGCTTTCTCGGATCAAGTAGAGAGCTTTTCCTACAGGAGAACTGAAGGAGAGGTATATAGTATATATTTGTGCGCGCATCTGTATTTAATAACAACCCGCAACACGCTTTTATTCGGTTAACACTCTCGCCCATCGCAATACCCTCGTCCGGGCCGAATCCAATCCGCCTGGAACGGTGCCGGGTCCTCGCGCCACAGCCGCAGCGCCAGATGCGTCTCTCACCAGCGCACCGGGGCGGAGCGCTTGAGGCGCCGCGTCAGGCGGCGTGGGCGGCGCGCGCATGGCGCGACGGCCTCTTGTCATCTGGCGCTCCTACTGTCGAGCGCTTCTTGTCGACCCAGCAGCGCTGGCGAGGTGCGCGCGTGGCGAGTCGGCGCGGAGAAGCAGTAACCCTTTCTGCATCGTTACCATCGCAGCAAGGCTCAGACATCGCTCACCCTGCATTTCGGATTCAGACCCGCGCACAACAGTCGGAATTTAGCGGGTCTTGCGCGTCAGCGTGGGAGAACGTCGCGCTGATTCCGCCCGACGCCGCGGCCGAGGGGAGCTGCGTCTCGTAGTGCGTGTGAAACCGTTGCATTTGTTTTCTTTTACCCAGAGCTAGTGCACGGCACGGACTGACGAGGCCCCATCCTACCTTGCCAGCTTCGACGAGGTGACAATGTACTGCTGCAACGCTGTCGGCGGCACGCTTCTTAACGCGACCGTGACGGGCGCGTTTGCGCGGCGCCAGCACGCGGATGACGCGGCCGGCTCACCTTCTATGGCAGCGTCATCTGGCAAGGGCGAATTGTCCACGTCCTCCCCAGCACCGAGCTCAGTGGCCGTCGCGTCTCACGACGCCAAAGAAGCGGCATTGGCGACGGCTGCGACGACGACGGTCACGCGCACGGCGCGGGCTGCGAGCTCGTCTGGCGGCGCCGTGGACGGGATGCGGCCGGGGGTGAGCTTCGCGACGTGCTCGACGAGCAACTACCGCGACATGCTCGCGTGCTACGACATGATCGCCGGGGACTACTGCAAGAATCACGAGATCAGTCCCGTCGGGCTGTGCAGTACCAACTCGACGGACACGAGTAGGGACCCCGGCGACGGCGTCTCATCCTCTTCTTCATCGTCCGCGTCTTCACTGGCGGGGGAAGCAGGTGCGACCAGACAGGCATCTGGCGCAGCGCTGGCAGCGCGGCAGCAGCGGCTGCTCAATGTCGCTTTTGGCGGTAGGCGCGGGGATGGGACGGTGCGGCGGGCAGGCGCCGGCGCCCCGGACGCGGCGGCAAGCATGGTCCGCATGCTGCTGCTTCTGATGTGCTCTTCGGCGCTGCTGCCTGCCCTGCTTGGGTCGTCGAGTCTGCGCTTTGCCTAGCCCTGGTCTTGATGGCAGAGCAGTCTTTTGCAACGCACGCAACACGCAAGTTCTACGAGGGGCCCCCTTTTTCCTTTTCTTTCCTTTGGACTGCCATGCGTCTGTACAGTGCAGGAATAATCTCTTTCAGCATGGCCGGCATATCGCGGGCCCTCTGGCTTTTTTGTTTGGCGTCCAAGAGTCCATCCATGCATCTGATTGAGCGCAGTTAAAAGCATGCCTGGGAGTGTACATGCTCTGTGATGACTGCTGCAGTGCAGGCGCGAGGAATCTATATACACCCAGCCAACTACTCTGTGCGCTAGTGGCGCGTGCCAATAAATTGAATAGTCAGAGTGCCTGGCGGCGGAACGCGGAACGATGTCTAGTTTGAGTATCCGAGCAAACACGACTCGCGCGGCGCCCGACAGCCTCTTATTTACGGTACTAATCACACGGCACTGCACGGCATTGTACACTCTCCTTCGCCATGTCCCGCCTCCCAAGGCTGGACAACTAATCCTCCTCAACAAAGACATCCATGCGAATCACCAGCGCAACCCAGCCCTTCAACCGACCCAGACCCCGACCCCGACCCCGACCCCCAGCAGCAGGAGCAGGAGCAGCAGACAGACAGACGGCATAGAACGCTACACACGTCCCTGCAGATACACCTCGCAGAATCTGCTGGCGTCCATGCCTATCACCAGTGCCCGCCCCCCTTGCACACTCACACACTCCCTCTGCTTTCCCGATAAGCTCGCTGCGCGAGTCGGAGCGCCAGCAGACGCCCTTTACCATCGCATAACGACATCGCTCTCGACAGAGACGTGGACCTGGAATTGCACCTGCACCTGCGTCGCACTCCATCGTGCTCGGCCCGGCGGTCGTCCATCGCGAAAGAGAAAAGGTGAGTGACCGTGTGCGCGTCGCTGCAGCCCGTCGCACAAGCAGTCTCGCGGCGGTAGGGTAGCGCAGGCAGACTCAGCCCAGCGCGTCGCATTCGCGAATGCGGCGCAAACAGGCAGGGCCACATACCATGCTTGTAGTGCGCGTCGCGTTCCTCCATCCCACGTCTAGCGCGCTCCCCTGCAGACCCTTGGATTCGACATGGAATTGACTCGCTGACCATGACGCACTTGCTTGCTTTCACCGCGCCGCCCCCGTTCGCTTACAGTGATCGACAGGTGCAGGCGTTCGCACTCGATACACGGCACCCCAGCCCCTCGCCCCATACCCTCGCTCTTCCTAGACCATGACATCGGTTCAGCAGCCCATGTACGGCGGCGGCGGGCCCACGTCGCCCTTGTCGTCCGCGGCAGCCTCGGGCAGCAGGCGCCTCACGGCGGCAAGCATGGCCAACAACCGGAATACGAACCGCTACTCGGTCACCGCGTTGTACAGCATGGCCGCAGAGCAGGACGTCGAGGTAGAGGACGACTTGGCGCGAGGTGAGTGAGCACTGTGCACCGAGACCCATACGGGCTCGCTCGCCCGGCCGTCGTGCGCTGAACGCGTCAAACCCCTTATTTCCCCTCCCTCTACTTCTTTCCCTGTTGCCACCGGTGTCGATGATGGTTCTGCGCAGCGCAAAAGCGGCTGCGTGAACTCAAAGGCCGCATCTCGACGCAGTCCAAGAAGAACTTTGTGCTGGAACGCGACGTACGTTATCTAGATAGCCGGATCGCCCTGCTCATTGCAAACAGGATGGCATTGGACGAGGTACGTACGCTGACGCCCAGGCCGTGTTCCTTGCGCAGCCCCCTCCCTCCCGCTGACGAATCCTTCTTTGTCCCTTTGCGGCGAATCGCAGCAATCAGAAGTCGCGTCAACGCTCGAGGAGACCGAAGCTACATTCGGCAACGCGCTGGACGACCGCAAGACGCAGCAATACGCCAACTTGTTTTTCCTGCTGCAGTCCGAGCCGCGGCACATCGCCGCGCTGTGCCGCCTGGTCAGCCTGGCGGAGATCGACACGCTGCTGCAGACGGTCATGTTCACGCTGTACGGAAACCAGTACGAGAGCCGGGAGGAGCACCTGCTGCTCACTATGTTCCAGGTACGTGCCCCACCACCCCTCGCGTGCCCGGCGGACGCTCGTGCTGCATGCAGCTGAAACAAATCTCTTTCACTCTCTCTTCCTCTCTCCCCTTCGCTCGACTCGGGGCACGCGCCGCAGTCGGTACTATCAGCGCAGTTCGAGACGGCGACTGAGTTCGGCTCTCTGTTGCGCGCTAACACGCCAGTGTCGCGCATGATGACGACCTACACGCGCCGCGGTCCCGGGCAGAGCTTCCTCAAAGAGGTCCTCGCGGAGCGGATCAACAGCCTGATCGAGCACAAGGACCTCAACCTTGAGGTGAACCCGCTTAAGGTGAGCGCAATGCAGTGCATGTCGATTCGATCGAATGGTGCATGGACGCCGTGCAGCTGCTGACTGCACCATGCCCCGCCCTGGAACCACGCCGCTTCTGCTGCTGCAGGTGTACGAGCAAATGATTGGCCAGATAGAAGAGGACACGGGCTCGCTCCCGCCGAATCTCCCGCGCGGAGTCCCGCCCGAGGTAGCGCAGGAGAACCCAGACGTACAGGCGATCATCGCGCCGCGCCTGACGATGCTGATGGAGATTGCGAACAGCTTCCTACTGACGATCATCAACTCGATCGAGCGGGTGCCGTATGGGATCCGGTGGATCTGCAAGCAGATCCGCTCGCTGACCAAGCGCAAATACCCCGACGCGACAGATTTCGCTATCTGTTCGCTCATCGGCGGCTTCTTCTTCCTACGCTTCATCAACCCTGCCATCGTTACACCGCAGGCGTACATGCTCGTCGACGGCCCGCCCGCCAAGCACCCGCGGCGGACGCTGACGCTGATCGCCAAGATGCTGCAGAATCTCGCCAACAAGCCTTCGTACGCTAAAGAACAGTACATGATGTCGCTCAACCCGTTTGTTGAGAACAACAAGACGCGCATCAATGCCTTCCTCAACGCGCTCTGCGACGTCGGCGACTTCTACGACACGCTCGAGATGGACCAGTACATGGCGCTCTCCAAGAAGGACCTGCAGATATCTATCACGCTAAACGAGCTGTACAACACACATTCGCTCGTCGCGCAGCACCTCGACGTTCTCGCGCCTGGCGACAAGCACCACTTGCGCATCCTCGTCGACGAGCTCGGCCCCTCGCCGGGCCAGGTGTCGCGCAAGGAGAACCGCACGGTTGAGTTACCGCTGTTCAGCCGCTGGGAGACACCGATCCAGGACCTGACGACCGCGTTCATGTCGGAGAACAACGTGACGCAGAATGATATACTCTACATGGAGACCAAGTCGATCTTTGTCCAGCTGATCCGCTCTATTCCGCAACTCGCCGACAAGCGACCGATCAACCTGCCGCAGATCGCCGAGCGCGCTGCGACGACCAAGGACGCAACGCTCGTCCGCAAGGGCATCAAGGTCAAGGAGATGCTGCGCGAGCTCGAGGAGCTCAAGGTCGTCGACCGCCGCGACGGCTACGCGCTCATGACCGACGAGGTCGAGGCCGAGCTGGCGCACCTTGGCAACATGCGCGAGAAGGTGATGGAGGAGATGCGCAGCCTCGAGAGTGTCTTCAAGACTATCTGCGAGCACAACAACTATCTCCGCAGCCAGCTCGACACGTACAAGAGCTACCTGCAGAACGTCCGCATGACCAGCGGCTCCGGCAAGGACAAAGGCGGCACCGCTGTCGGCGTAGTCAGCTTTGGGGGCAAGGAGCGAAAGTCGGCAAAGTCCCAAGTCCTAGGGCCGTACCGCTTCACGCACGCCCAGCTCGAGAAGGACGGCACCATCGTGGAGAGCAACGTGCCAGAAAACAGGTGAGGAAGAACCCTCCCCCTTCGCGCTGAGCTACACCGCGCCAGCGCGCAGGTGGAAAAAAGGAACCTGCTGCTGACGGTCTTGCGCGCGATTTTGCCTGCTCTCTCCGGAATCCAGGCGCGCCAACATTTTCTTCAACATCACCTCGCCGTCACCGGGCACGTTCATCATCGCGCTGCACTACAAGGGCCGAGAGAAGGCGATCCTCGAGATGGACCTCAAGCTGGACGACCTGCTCGAGAAGCAGAAGGACGAGGTACAGTTGCTCGACCTCGAATACGTCAAGCTCAACGTCAGCCGCATTCTCTCGCTCCTCAATAAGACGTTTTCCAAGCGCAAGGGTTAGCCGCTGCGCAGCAGAGCACCTCCCCCCTCCCGGCACTATCGTCTTGTCACACCCATTTCCCCATCTTTCCCAGCGGATACCTGTTCACGTTCCTAGCTCCTGCTAGCTTATTCACATTGTACGTCCTCGCTGCGCTGCGCGCCTTGCCTCGTCTCGTCTCTGTTTTTAGGGCCTGATCCCAGGGTAGCTAGGATACAATGCACGAACGACACAACCACCCACCCTCGCTCCTTGCGTGTGTGCCAAGTCATTATTTTCCTTCGTCATCTCGCTGTTTTGCTCTTTTGGCTCTCGGATCCACACCTCTGTATTGAAAGAAAAAGGAATCGGAGTTTAATAATTGTCTTACATACGATTTCCGTGCTGTCCGGATACATTTCTTCGAACTCTATTGTCCATATTTGCTGGGTGGACATGTGCTCTCAACGCTAGGTCTGGAATCTCACTGCACAGACCGTGCGACTGGAATCCGTCTCGGCAGCACTCGGTGAGAAGTCGTGCTGGCTTGTAGAGACGGAGTGAGGATAGGCTAGGCTGTGGCTGAGAAGCCGTGTTGCGCTCTGGCTCTGAGGGTGGTATGTTGCGCTTGCTGCGTCATGTCGATGAAATCTTCAGGCTCATTCGCCATGTAAAATTCGATAGAGCTGTTGAAGCCGACTTGTGAGCCACCCCAGGAGCCATTGTTTTCATTAGGCGACGCGGTCAGCTGATACTGTGACACATCCCCGGCCTTGGTGTCCAGAACGGTAGCCCTGCGGGCCTTTCCTCCACCGTCCGCCACCGATGACTGTGCAGGCAAAATAACCACGGCGTCAGATGAAAGTGTGGGATGGGCGGAGGGCTGCCTCTGCGTCAGTCGCAGATGTGGAGGATGCACAGATGTACGAGACGATCTGGAGGACGAAGGACTCAGGTCTCACCAGTGTGCGAGTGGGGTGAAATCTTGTCACGTAAAGTGTCGGGTATTGTCATGGAAGGGCTCATTGCCTCCGGCGGTACCCCGCCTTGGCGTCTATAGATGTGATCGCTTGTGGGTATGGGGAAGCTGGAAGCTTGAATTTGCAACCTTGCAGCAGGCTACAAGCCATGATATTTTGAGCCCGTGCGGCTACATTGGAGAGTCGGCGCATTATCGATACGCAGATGTTCTTCCGAAATCGTCTGCCTGTTGGTGGGAGAGGAAACGAAGCCGGGGCGTTCCGAGCCAGATGGCGCATGCGTATGCGGCAGCGATTGCGGCCGGAAAGCACTTCTTAACTCGTCAGCACGCATGATTGCGACGTCAGCGGACCCCAACTTTCCGCGAAGGAATGCTTCCTGATGCCGAAGAATCTTTCCAGCAGCCCGAGAAATATGCATCGGCAGCAAAAAAAAGCCGCGAAAGTATGCATATCATCGCTTGGCTCCCCAGTTGTGGCGGATAATTCGAAGCGCATTCCATTGGCGGCTGGCATTGAAGAAAATCTCCTCCCGATCTTGGCTGTACCACTGTTCGGCTGCGTGATCCTCGAAAAAGTATCATCTGCGCTAGGCAGCTCAAACCAGGGTGGATAGTCGTGCAGGAGTGGCCAGTACCAGAATTCCGCAGCTCAGCCTCCGCACCTGCACCGATGATGCCGGGTTCTGCAGGCGCCTCACCTGCTAGTCGAGCTGGGTGCTGACTCGTCGCCAAAGTCTCCAAGCATGCTGCTGATCCAGACTTTCGGAGCTTCTTCAGACCCTTCCTTTTATGCCTTCGACGCGAAGGAGGTGATTTGGGCATGATCAGCGCACTTGCGTGTTGAGAGACTTCAAACGGTGACCTTGGCATAGCAAGGCCAGCAATTGCTGTTGGGGTTGAGGTGATTGAAGGAAATGACGGACGCTTCCAGCCATTGCCGCTTCGTAAACGAGCGATGATTGCAGGGCTGATGTCGGAAGACACACGAGCAATTGAGAAATTGCTGGCAACGGTGTTGATGGCGTTGAAATGCACAATTGTGTTCACCGCAGGAGAACAAGTTGGAGAGGGGAAAAAGAACCCCGCGGGGTATCTTCGCCAAGAGATCCCGGAGTCGAAGACTCGGTTGCCAAGCGCTTAATATTGGAAGAGCGAGGCGAGACTGGGCTTGTGCGAGAAGATGTGAACCTAAATGCCGCAAATGTTGACTTGGGTGTATGAAAGGCTGGTGTGTCGGGGTGTGCGTCGCTTTGGTTTCTTGAAAGACTTGCTGCTGACTTGGAGACATTGATGCTTAGCGAATAAGTATCGGATCAGGACACTGTGGAAGCTGATCTCGGCCTTTGACGGCTCTGCAACAATCGGGATTCGGCCTCTTCTCTTCGTTTTGAAACATTGTGACGGAGTACTTCTGTGCAAGCCACTGATCGATAGCTTTCAACTCCTCTACCTTGGCTACCGCAGCGGCTGCATCTCTATATTGCCGGTGCGGTGTTTCTTGAGAGGCCAGCACCTTGACGGCTCGCTTTCCATCCGCGAGCTCCACATTGGCTTCGAGCGTTGGCAGAATGCGGCTGGGCAGTCGATCAACTACATTCAGGGCAGCAACACCAGAGTCCATATCCTCGCTGTCGGTTGGCATAGCGATCGATGTACCGATACTTGCGATGCTCAGTATGAAGTTGGCAGGTGTCGGTGAGGACCTCCAACCGTCAAAGGTTGCAAGCGAAGTTCGCCACGGGCTAGGGACACTTGAGAGTGTATTGTGTACCGTGAAGCGATTAGGGTTGTTCTTCAACAGGCGATGTAGAGGCCGTAACGGCGCCCAGAACGGGTGAAGAAGCGGTTTTGAAAGACTGGAGAAGGCTGAAGTTAAGAAGTGCTGGGAGACAGTGGATCAGGAGCGAAGCTCATCTTAGCGAGTATGCTACCTGAAACCATGGTAGGCGAACTTGCAAAGATGGAAACAAACGGGCTGCTGAACGCATGAAGATGCACCGGCTTCTGCTGCCCTTTTGCAGTTGCCTCCAGCTTTTCTTCCACCCGCTTCCCAAGGTTTAGAGCGCCGTCCATCTTTAACATGATCCTTGCATCCTCGAATTCGCTTTCTTCCATGATAGCTTCGAGCCGTAAGCCTCCTGCCGCGCTGCCTTGGCATTGATCATGAGAGGCAGCTTGTGGTGAGTGCTGGGGTGCCTGTAGCTGTTATCGAATTTGGCAGCCGCGTCGAAGTAGTTTCATTGATTGGGAATATTCACGCTGGAGGTGTTTCTGAAGTCCCGATAACGCAAGCGCCTGGTCCAGAAGAGCCTGGCTCAGCCGAGGGAAGGCGGGAGTAAGTACTAGCCCTGTTTTGTTGACTCGTCCCGTCAGTCGCTGCAGCGCCGTTGCATTTGGAACGGTTTGCTATCGACGCCAAATGTGCTCATACTGCTCGGATGGCAATACCTGCGCTCTAGAAATGTTCGGATGCTCATGTTGCGGACTCGAGCCTACAACAGCACTTGTAGTGGACGCAGTTAAATAGAAGTATGTCTCACTTGCAAATGCTCTAGTGTTGTTGTCGCTTCTTCGTGGACCATGTCCGGGCGCGCTCGCTGGATTGACAGCGGCAAGATTACGGGCTGCTGCTGACTCGGGTGGAGGAAACAGTGACACAGGTGTCAAACCGTGTGCCGGCCCCAGCTGCGCATGTGTGGCGTGCCACACGGCCTGTCCAGAAGCGAAAGAACGCGCATGGTCGAGAGGCGAGCTGCTGAAAGAAGTGATCATGTCCGTGTTGACGGCCCATGAAGCTGCGCAAGTGTCGTCGAGCTGGGTGAGGGCGGTACAAAAAGCCAACCCAGAGACTGCAAAGCGCAGGATAACCCCGAAGGCACCTTGAGAGAGCCCATGAACGTCGCCGAAGCGGGCTCGCCGACGCTGCCACCGCACCATCTGACCACGCTCTGAGCGTAAGCATATCCAGCAGTAGCTACAGCGCTCGTGATCCAGTATCCAGCGCCAAGCTTGTACTGCGAAGACCCGGCCGTGGCGCCTTTCAAAACTGAAGCGCTTCTCGCCCGGCTGTTCTTGCCGCCATTATGATGCGGGTGAGCATGGAAGGAAGGCTGCGAAGGACAAAATTGGGCCAGAAGAGACCCCCCGGAGAGGATGAGCTGTGCGGAGAGTGTGCTGGTATCGGTACGAGCCCGAGCCCGAGGCTTTGTCGCTGGTCGTATGTGGGTTTTGACACAGCTGTTGCGTACACACTTCATTGCGGAATGGTCAATGCACTGGCTTCTGTAAAGCTGATCGCTTCTGCTCCGCATCACAGGGAATCGACTCTGAAGGACAAGTGCACCCGCGTGGTCGCTGGCGCACGTTTTTGTTGAACATGTTCAAGACGTGCGAGGAGTGGCATGCGCCCACGAAAGTACTGGAAAAGCCGAACTCGGCGTCTTATCGAAGATTTCATCGTTGACACCGTCGTCCGGCTGGTTGCCTGCCGGGCGCCCGTAAAAGTGGAACATCGGTGGTATGTCATCATCCTGAGGTCCTTCTCTCCACCAGAGACGGCACTGTCAGCGATTCCGGTGTGAGAATAAAAGCTAAAGTCTGAGCCACATGGCCATAGCTGAAAAAGCGGACGAGGGCAGACAGCCCTGTACGTACACTTACGTGGCCGGAGGCTGGTCTGCGCGAGGCCACGCCATGGTCATACGCAAGGAAGGGGGGAAGGGCCAATGTCGTGGGATACAGCGTGAAAGGTGCTATTTGCGAGGCCGATGGGCTGCCCTGAGTTAAGTATTCGGGCCCCAAGCCGGCGAATAGGTCAGTGTCGCAGACGTCAGCGCTGGCGTAGAGACGGATCGTGCACATCTCCCGTGCGCGTATCGGACGACCGGAGCATGGCGATGCGAACCTGTCGGCCCTTGCTGACTGTCGTACTTTCGCAGAGGCGGCCGGCGCGGCGACGAAGACGGTGAGCCGTGAAATAGATCACAATAGCATAGGGACATGGCGCCCTCGCGCACCGCGCTTGATTTCCCTTGCAACGCCTGGTCTCGACCAAGCTGCAAGGGATGCAGGGAGAAATATGAGAACGGACCCTTTAACCAGCAGGTGAACAGGGAGTACCGATCAAACGGGTTGGAACTCACCTCAGCTCTTGATGCAGTGATCCCACTTGCGCCTGACGGTGGCGTTCTCTTGGCTCTCGCTGAGAGGTAATGAAGAGTAAGCCTTGCAAGCGGGAGGAGACTTGCGACAATGTCAATGCGTCGGGCGTCGCCCGCTTATAACGAATTGCCAGGCTCCAAAGGGGTCAATCAGCCTCGGCCAACGAAGTGTCGCCGAAGCGGAAGCGCAGATCGGTCCAAATGTACGAAGGGCAAGCTTAGCTCGTAATACGAGAAGCTGAATACGTTCTAATGAGAGAAAGATCGTAAACAACCATTCCAGTGGGGAGGTGCGAAGGCGTTGCGATCCCATAGCACCACAAGGACCCGCAGTCAACTGTCAAAGCGGCCGAATGGCCAGAAAGGGTTTTACGCTCGTGCTGTCAATTTCAAGCCCTACTTCGCCGACGGTGATGGGGTCAGTGGACAGCCTAGGCGTAAGCGCAACTGCGAGAAATAGAAGGCTGTTCGATGATGGTGGCCCCGAGATTGAGGGAGATTTAAAGGAAAAGGGGAGTGCAAGAGTGAAAGGCGCGACTTCGAATGGTGCGGCCTCTGCTGAACACTGCTATCTGTGCATTGCGCTCATCGGCTCGTCGCGAGTGGGACCTCCTGCGGCCTCCTTGGCCTCGGCCATCTGGCATCGTTCGCTCGCCTGATCTTCCATACCCACGCAGGCGTCCATAAGGCACACGTGTGCGGACAACGATGAAATGGTTGCACGACATAGCTATATTGGGGTGTAAGGTGGACGCCTGCTTGCATCGGCTTCTCGAATCGATTGCACCTTTTGAGTGTGCTCTCTCTTTCCTTTCCGATTGGATCGACGTGCAACTTTCGAACCTGTTACTCATACAAGCTTGCATTCAGCTGGTGGTTGTGAAGGGTATATAGGAATCCGAACAAGCGGTACAGTGATGAGCGAGATGGAATCATGGCGTGCGAGAATTCGCTGCTGCCCCAGCGCGCGCGCACAGTGAGAGAGTTCAGGCGGCCGAGGCAGTAGCCGCACGTGCCGCCTGTAGGTCGGCTGGCTGATGAACGGCCTCTGCAAGCCAAGTTGCGTGCAACGAACACCACGAATTCAACAAAGAGAGCTGTCCGCTGTTGTGTTCAGCATACTGTTCATCTCGCTCGGTCTTTCCTCATGCAGATAGTAATTCAGACCCCCGACAGCTTCTGTCTAAGCTTCATTCTATTGCCTCGCAGCAAAGGCGCAGAAAGTGCTCATAGCGGGTCGCTGTCCAGAAATCTGTTAATTTGACCGCGCGCTGTGCACGGGTGCTCCTGACGGCAGAAGACCCGCATACAACCCACTTCATCTCCGCTCGATAGGCCTCGTCAGGACGCTGCTTCGGCTTGCATGTGCACCTAAGCCTTTGGTACAAGCAAGACAATCCATACACCAATAGAAACCACATTGCTGCATCGCACACCATGTCAGATCGCGCCGCAGCCGTCTCGCGGCTCGCAGAGCCTTCCTCGCGCGGCACGCTCTCCTTCGCCTACCGTCGTTCTGTCGTCGCCTTGCAGAACGTCTTCGGCCTCAACCCGACGCCAGCGCATTCCTCAGAGCAGCCAGAGCGCCAACCTCTGCTGCGGGATGCGGGCGCAGGCGTTGGCGGAGCTGCAGGCGACTATGGAAGCACAAGTGGGAATGACGCTGGCTCTGCGACAGATGGGTGGGAGAGCAGGATCCGGAAGCCAAAGACGGCCATCAGTCCCGTCAGGGTGGAGGCGAAGGTCTGGTTTGCGAACGAGGTGCGTCCATCTCCCTGGTTGCTACCCAGTAATAATAGCGCCGATGCCGCGTCTGATCGGGAGTCAACGGGCTAACATACCTTATTTGGGCATTTCAACTCCCTAATGATTTCCTCAGCGGACCTGGATCGCATGGCTGCGTGTATCGCTTTTGATCGGTTCCTTCGCCTTGGCCATGTTCAACTCGGCCTCCTACTTCGAGCATCTGACCGATCCCGCAACACCTGGCGGCAATCGCGACCCTCTACCCGGCGGGGAACCCGGTCCGGAGATGCCTCCACCAGCATACAGCCGCACAGACGCGCGCTTAATCCGCATATTCGGCGGCGTGTATGCCATCATAGCGATCCTCACGTTGCTTTGGGGCTTGTTCAGCTACCAGAGAAGAGTCAGCCTGATCAGAAGGAAATATGGTGGTCCTTTGGGTGAGGTATTCGCCATGTCTACTGCCACTCCGTGTCCTACAAGACTTAGCGACTGACTCTGCAACCCTTTGCGAATGCTGGATGCGTACTATGCCGCATTGCAGACGACCTCTATGGGCCTCCGCTCATCTGCGCGGCGCTCTTCGTGGCTGTGCTCGTCAATTTCATCTTCAAGGGTGAGTCTCGCCCTCCACTGTCAACACCCACAGGAACATGTGCTCATGCTCACTTCCATGTTCGGTCTTCATTATCCCTGTTCAGTCAAAGAGTATCAAAATCAAGGGCATTAGCTTCGCCTTCCAGGTTCTGTAATGCCATGCGCGCCAAAGAGCGAACATGGAAGAGAAGGAAGGGATGCCGATGCGAGTAAGAGGCAGCAATCCAACACAGCTCTCTCTGGTGACAGCTAGCGAGCAAGATAAAATAAATTTGTGTATATCTATTGTCAAGTACGCACGCAACACCGCCCAATTATCACAGTGCCGGGATCGCTGCAGCCTGTACATTCTGGTCGTTGAGCTTTCGCCTTGCTCGCCGTCTTGTCCGTCACAGCAGTTCGGCTGTGAGAGGAAGCTGCCACGGTCAGATGTTCGGACGTCGCAGCTCATGATTCGTGATAGAGAGCTGGACCCAGTCGATCGGCGGTACGCATTGATTCTCACTTGTCGGCGATGTATCACTTTGGCTAGCAAGAAAAAGGATAGCGTTGACGATTCGAGTATGGCGAATGTTGCTCTTCCCTAGAGTCAAGACTGGACAAAGAGGAATGATCAGCGATCTCCACGCCTTCCTATGGGCGGTACAGTCACGGGCAGCGGCATGCCTTCGCCAATGCCATGAACTGGCGGTGTGCTCCCTGAGCTTTCGAGGTACATATGTATCTTGTAGCACGAGCAAGCCAACCGCCTTCGAGCCTAACCGCCAATCAGCGCGATCGATCGCGCCCACTTGGCATTTTCTTAAGCTTAACGAGAACCAAATGCAGGTTGTGCTGATGCAAGATCTGGACACCTCATCTTTTGACTTCCTTCAGGGATTTTGTGCATGAGAGAGTAAGTGCATCTAAAACGGGACCGACGGGACTGATCGTGGTGATTATGTTTGAAGGCAACCGACTGCTTCGGCAATCATCTCTGCTTGTTTCTTTCCCTTTTTCTCGTCTGTAGCCTCGGGGCAAGCCGCAGCGATGCAAGCCAACAACGTCGGACTATCAAAGCCAACTCACCGTGCAAGCCGGCAGGTTGCGAGGCCGTGTTCGATTCGATGAAGCGTTAGGGTCTGTTCGTATTCGCTGTGGCTTGCATCACTGCTACCTGCATCTTGCAAGAGCCAGGAGAGCCCGAGTGACTTGTTGCCTGCTGGCACACCTGGTTCCTGAGCGCAGAGACGAGAGAGGTGCGATGTGGATGTACGTCATGATGAATGTATGATTCATGAGGCATAAGTATGTGTAAGCCAGGAGGCATAAGCGCAAGACCATATGCGTGTGCGCTGCTGCACTCGCTATGAGGTCATCCATCGGCCCGCCCCCCGGCGCCGCATTGCGGACGGCAAAGTCCATAAACACACAACTTGACTTGGCACGTCGCAAGAGGGAGAAGGGCGAACGAAGACTAAGTTAACCAACCAGGAAGGGTTTGCTTCCATTTAGCTGCATTGTGCAACGTGCATCATTTTCCACCTCAAACCAAGTAGTGTACACCCTCCCCCCCAACACCCAACCTGCAGTCACTGGTTCTCCATCCCTCTGTTCGCAAGGCCCCTCACCGCAGGCGATCCCAGCGTCGAGCTTCCAGTGCTCCCCGATTCGGCGCCTCGACTCGGGCTGTGCTACGCAAGACAAGAGCTCCACGCCATCATGCTGAGCAGCTCCTCCCTTGCGCAACGTAGTGTCGCAATCAGCTCTGGCGACTCTTCAAGGCTGCTGACATTTTTGCCCGCGTCGAGAACACGCAAGCAAGCTGCTGTTGTTGCTGCACAGAGCTTAGCATCACCGACATCATCAACATCATCGGGGACAAGGTCGGAGTGCTTCAATTTCCGACGCAGTCTCAGCACGAGTGCAAACGCATGGGCCAAGGAGTCTCGCACAAGATCGAGAAGCAAAGGAGTTGCAGCGACAGAGGTCTCAAGGTCACGGAGCGCACAATACGCGCGACGCCATGAGCTAGGAGGCAATGCTAGGACTTTGGTGCCTTCGAGCTATTCTCTCCATTTTCAACGAGCCTTTGCAACGTCAGCCGCCTCCATGCACGATGAAAACGCGACTGTCGCACAGGGAAACCATGCGACCAACACAAGCCATTCCTCTACTACTACAGCATCTACCACAGCACCCTCTACATCAGATCCGGAAGTGGACCCAGACGAACCGCCACCGAAAGCTGGCTTCCGCGAGCGCCTGCGCTTCCTCTCCAGGCGCTATGGCTGGTGGGCGATCGCCGTGTACATGCTCACCTCGTTCATCGATTTCGGTTTGGCATTTGCCGCGATCCACATGCTCGGCGCCGAGCATATCCGCGAACTTGAGGCCCGAGTACGACATTGGCTCGGCATGGAGAAGCGCGACCATTCTGAGGAGCAGGATACGGGCAAGAACTTGAAGCAGATGCTGGGGATCAGTGCACAAGGTGCTGATGGGGCAGAGCCGACGAAGGAGAATAATCTTCCGGCAAGAAAGGAGGTGGTGCAGAAGCCGATTAGCCAGTCCGAAGCAGGTCATACTCTTGCTCCTGCCTCCAGTGGTACAAAAAACTCTGGGGGGAGCGGCACACTGTGGGCAGAAGCCGTGCTAGCGTACACCATCCACAAGACGCTTCTACTCCCTGTGAGAGTCGCGGCCACTGCCGCCATCTTGCCCAGTTTCGTCAAGCTCATGGTCAAATGGGGTCTTTCGAAACCGACTGCGGCCGTACGCGCGGCGGCAAAGACAGGGAAGCAAGCTGCAAAGTCTGCTGCTTAGATACTCTACACATCGAACTGTGGAATAATGGCGGGTATAGAAAGGACGCACATGGCTCACAGGGCAGACCCCTTTTCTATCACATCACGTCCCTTGGCGGCCGAGATAATTTGCAAGTAATCACCTCTTCACTATAACATTAACTTGATTTGAAGCTTTGCGAACTTGTCTGGTCGCCCGAAGCCGGATTGCAGTACAAAGCCGCGGAGTTGTCGTAGAAACGCCAGCTTTGCGAGTTGTCGTCGTCGCCCGTGTTGTCCGAATTGGACAGCCACGCAGCGTACTTGCCGTCTGGGTCGCCATACGCCGAAGCGACGGCAGCGACGTGCGGCGCCAGCTCGGTGATGTTCTCGTCACCTGGGTCGAGCGTCATGAGATAGTCGACGGCCGATTGGATCGTCGCCCCTTTGCTCGTCGTCGCGGACCACATGTTTAGCGCGAGGTTGTCGGCCAGCTTGGCGTTGGCGATCATTCCTTCGACGTTGAAGCAGCGGTAGTGAAAGGGACGTGTGCGAGTCGCTTCATAAGGCTGCTCTCCATCTTCGTCGATTTGCGACATGAACGCTCCGGTAAAGTAGGCGTTCGCGGCCTGCTGCGCGCTCTGAATGTCGCCGACAAGGATGTACAGCGCGATGAGCTGGTTGTAAAAGAAGGTGGCATGATTGTTCGAAGCCTTGGCGACACCCTTGCCCTGGGAGCTCTTTGCGAGCCAGTCAAGGTAATTGCTCGCCCATTGGTTCATCGAGGACGCTATCACGGCGTTCCAAGCTTGAGCACTTTTTGCACGCATGATGACGATGGCATTGACCACCTTAAGGATCATGCGCCAGTCGAGTATGCCGGTGAAGTCGCCAAGCTGCTGCCCTGGCCCACGGATGACCTGACCGTAGTTGAGATTCGGGTTGACTGCCGTCTGCGGATTCAGGAACCAGTTGTAGATCAACGATGTCGCGCGCTGCGAGTAAGACGTGTCGTTCGTCAAACCAAATGCGACGCCGTTCCACAAGACGGATTGGGCCATGCTGACGACATCTTTCGTGTTGTTGAGCATCTTCGTGTCCGGATTAACCTTGCCGTCCTTTCTCTTGTAGGGGCATGTAGTCCAGGTTGCGGCTGGAGCAACACTGGTCGAGCTAGGCGTACAGCTGTTTTTGTTCCCATCCATCGCCTTGCCTTGAAGCTGTGCAGCTCCTGTGCTGGTGCCAGTGTTGATTGATCCCCTGTTCTGGAGGCTTGGCGTGGGCGCCTGAGTCTGGCTTGTGGTGTACGCATTGTGAGAGGCTGCGACGAGAAGCTGATGAGCATGCTGATGTACAAGCCAGTTATGAGCGTGCCCAGTACGGCGAGAAGGGTGCGTGGGCTGGGCTGTGTGCGCCGGTGCAACGCGAGTCTCTTCAAGGGGAGGCGGATCTCTGGCCACCATAGCATCAACCTCGGCCATCCGGAACGCGTTGCCCTCTGCAATCTCTGGCAGGGAATTAGCGGACCACAGTGCGTTCGCACCTCTCAGCCTCCTCCTTGCCAGTGCAGGATTCACTCCAGCGTGCGCGTTGGTTTCAAGCAGCTGGCCTGAGACACTGAAAGGGTTGGCGGCCTGAACTTGCGGTAGAATGGGAACAGGAGCTTGATAAGGCTGTATCGGCAGGGCAGTTGCCTGAACAACGCCTCCCACCGGATCCAGAGGTTGATAAGGATGAGCTGTCGGATTGGCATCGGGTGGAAGCGATGTGGCCAAAGTAGCTGAGCTGAGCCAACTACTCGAAGAGGAGCTGCTGTCGGGGTAATTGGGATCGTCGCCATTATCGCCATCACTCTGTGCACTGTTCTGGCCGCACCAATTGCAGTCTGGCCACCAGTACGGAGCCCAGGAGAGGTAGTCGTGCTTGTCGCCGCTAGGAGTACTGACTTTTTGATTCAGCACAGACCAAGGTCCTGCCTTAGCTGACCACACTCCGGCTTGCTGGATTCGCGATTGCGCATTGATGCTACCAGAGGCGTCTATCTGTCCGTTTGACACGTCCATGACATAAAGTGGGGAGACCCAGTCATTGCCATCGGCTGGGAAACAGATGGAAATCAAGCTCAGCCTCGTGTGCATCGACCTACTATAGAACAAGGGCTGTACACTCACCTTGCACACTGCGTGCAGCTACCAAACAGAGGAGCACTGTCCTCGACAGCCCGAAAGCGTGTTTCACCCACTTGCCCATGCTGCTGTGTTCCTTGCTCGAGGTGCCAAGTTTTACCATTTGGTCCAAGCATGCAAAGATGGCCTCTCATGCCAAGGGTCAGGATCTCCATATATGCGCTGTGGCAATTGAGGAACGTGGACGTCGTGTCGAGATTGAACAAGACGTCAAAGTGGCAGCATGACGCATACCGCTGCGATGGCCAGTCATGATGGCCGGGTCTACCGCAACTTGATGTACTCAGAGTGAAGTGATATCCATATGCGTTTACTTCCGAACACGCTCCGTGTGCCGAGCCTTTGGAGGCCGAGTCTGAAGATGCCCATGAATGAAGCTTAGAAGTTGGGTTAACAGCCGATCATTGGAGGTTTTGTGGCAGATGGGGTGAGGGAGGACGTCCGACAACGGCCAGGCTGGGCCATATGCACCTCCAACCTCTTCAGGTAGGGGCTGTGCTGCAGACTACAAATACACAACGGCCGAGCGGGACAGAGCGCAGGGGAGCACAGGCGACATGACGACAGCAACACAACCAACACGTCGCGCGACGCGTCCCTCCACTTTAGTCGACGCTCAGTTCAACCTTTTGCACATGCGCCTAAATATCGTTCGACTCTGGCATAAGCTCTTGTGGGCCGATCTGGGGCATTCGGCACCTGTGGGACAAGTGTCGAATGCGCACAGTGGTGGAAGTTGGAACCGTGGAACACTCAGTTGATTGACAGCACCGACTCCCAAAACTCTTCGCTTGCTACTCGCATCACCTCTGTTTTCACTTCAACGTTCCAGACGCTGAGCGACGCGCGGGATCATTGATGCTCCCGTCTCCCGCTTCAGGTCGCCCCTGGGGTGCCGTACGTGCTAAAGTGAAGACAAACCTGTTTGAAGTCAAGTGTGAACACTTGAAGGTAGGAACGTTGTTCAATCCGACGAGCCCTCCTGTTACAAGTCTTCTCAAAAGTTCAAGGGCCTTCACGCCGTCATACTGGAAGACCAACAGTGCCAAAGAATTGAATGCTGCCAATGTAGTACTGCATGCATTTTGAGACTTTGTGTACAGTGCAATGTATATCGCCATCCACCCGGTAAAGCATCCTACTCCCACACCCGCAGGCGGCTATCGAAGCTGTGAGTGCACCATCTGGATCTCATCAAGAAGGCTCGGTGCCTCTGGATCAGGGAACATCATCTCTCTTGCCGCGAAGCCGTTGCTGATGGATGGCCTTGCAGATTGGGAGGACCGACCAAATGGATTGCATCATTTTGATGCCACACCCCGTTCAGCATGCAATTCACGCCAAATGCGCCGTTCTCCCCAAGTCCGTGCCCTTGGCCTGGTTCCGGAGGATGGTACGCCTGCGAAGCACACGGAGAAGTAGGGCGAGTATGGGCGATCATCGGATGGTGATGTTGGTGAGGATGTTGATACTCTTGAAAGTGCCCATACCTTGCCTTTTGCTGCAAAGGCGGGGACAGTTGCGCTGGATTCACCTGCTCAGGCTGTAGCTGCTGCTGATGGAGATGATGATGATATTGTTGAGATTGCTCATGATCAGCGGTCAGAAGATAATGCTGCTGATGATATGGCTGCGGCTGCTTCTGCTGTTGCTGCTGGTGATATTGCTGGGCCTGGAGCTGCTGCTGTTGCTCTCCATCGACACAATGAGAATGCTGCGGGGGAAGATAAAACCCTCTTTTCATCGCCACTGCTTGCTCCTCAGGTTTCAATGTTGGTCTCTCAGGTGGTGTATAGATCCCACTGGTTGGGCGGTACAGCTTTGACGGGGTTGATGTGACTGCACTATCGTGCATATGGTTGACCATGGCATCCTCAGACGCAGTGCGAGAAGTCGTAGGTGTGTCGAGCCTGCCTTTGCCGCCGTGCATAATCTGATCGCTGGTGCGATCCACATCCATCGCGTCGCCCGGATCAATGGAGGTGTCGTGGCTGTCATCAGGTGAGGAATGCTGAACAGCCTGTTGAATCTCTGGCTGATTCTCCGGCTGAGCCTCTGCCTCTGACTGGACTTCCGGCGGGCCGGAAGACGTGCGTGGTTCACGCGCTGGATTTTGCGCTAAAGGAAAGTCGTCTTCAAATATCGGATCTTCAGCTTTCCCTGCGGGCTCCTCCGTGCCGGTAGCGGATGCTTTATCGCCATTTGCGTGTCTGTTGGGCAACGGAGATAACCTTGCAGGATCGCTGGGCGACCTCGCTTGGGCAACGTCCTGAGCTGATTTATTGGAACTAGCCTTCGCTTTGGACTTCTTCCGAAGCATAGCGAGAGGCTTGGTGGTCCTCCTCGTAGGCGCTTTGGCGAGCTCGTCAGGTGCTGGCGATGCTGAACCTTGCCGTCTGGGGGCAATGAGCCCACTCGGCAGCAAGACCAGCTCTGGGTTCTTGGCGAGGAATTTGGCAAGCTGCACCCTGCGCTTAGCAGCGCTCTCCGCTTCGCGCTTCTCGTCTTCCAAGTCGAGCTGCCATTGCTCCTTCAGCCACTCGTCGTACCGCTCGCAGAGCGGACGCCATGTGCGAGTTCCAGACACCGATTGCGCCTCCAGAGGCGGATCGCCATCCCTGTCTAGCGCCCGACGAAGGCTGGCGGAGATGTCATTAGGAGGAGGATACTTGAAATCTGGTCCAGGGTTGATTCGCACTCGAGCACCTCCAAAGAGGGAGACGAAGGGGAAGTATCCCGTTGAACCATCGTCGAAATGGTTCTCGCGGCTCTTGAGCAAGGCTTTGGCGCTTGCGCTGCTCGTGATCTCTGCGTCCTCCCCATCAACGGCAAGCCCGACAGTTCGATTGTTGTTGCGATTGCGCTGCTTCGCATTCTTTTCATCATCTGCCTTTTCGGACTTGCGAAGAGGCCGGTAGTCAAAGAGGTTTTGAAATGCGACTCCCTGAGATTGCCCGTTGACGAAGAAGCCAATTTCGCTGCCTTCGAGTGTCGGCAGAGGTCTAAGAGATGCCAACAGCTTTTCCCGCTTGATAGCTTCCGGATCGACCTGTCCTGGGGCTAATCGTCGTTTTCGCGCTGCTGCCACCTCATCATCTGAAGGCTGTACGACGCTGATATTGCCATTTGCATCGAGCTTCCGGATTCCACGTCTACTGTCGTCCATCAGATTTGCCATCTCCTTGGTCGGAGCATACTCGAGACTTTCAAAATAGAGGTTTCCCTTGTACCGGATCGGGACGCGCTTGCGCCGAATGTTTGCCGGATCCAATGGGTCTTCTGGATTCGGTTTGCGAAGTGGGGGGAGCTTGATGTAGATCCCAATGACATCTCCGGCGCCGTATGGCCTTCCATACGGAATCGGTCTCGCAATGCTGACCCGATCCCCTGTCGTGTCACGGAAGCCATACGAGTACCCATCGACACCAACTGGTGCATTCAAAGGGGCCTCTCGTCGGCCCCATCCCACCCGCACGTGCGGCCCATCCTTCATTTTGCAGGAGATGTCGTTCGGTCCGCGATCGATTTTTTCAGGCTCGAGCACCTCGATCTCGGCAAACCAGCAGCCTTCACGCACGCCGATGTTGCTGCGCGCGGATCGGAAGCCTTTGTCTGCACAGACGATGGAGGCGTCGCTGTTGATGTAGCACCACTGGCTTCGGTCCTGCCAGGACCAGTGGACTCCCCTTGGCAGAATATCGATAGTCTTGTAGACCGACTCTGGTAAACGGTCCGACGCTGGAGCCGCTGCATCGTAACGCCACCCACTGCGATTGGTGGGGAACATCAAGGGAAGTGTCCCGAGGGTCTCGCTGCCGGGGAGAAGAGGAACGCTCGGAACAGGGTGAAAGTCTTCCGGATCGCCGACCTTCGGGACCGGACCTCGGAAGTCTGGTGGGACCTTATGTCGCGAGGATATCGGTGGAATCGGCGGAGTCAGGAATCCATTGGCTCGTCTGACCTTGCCTTCTGCTGCATTCGCGCCATGTCCTTCTTGCCGGTCGGATACATCCTGATCCTCCGTGAGGACAGACGGAGTCGTCGCATCTGAGCGGGCTGGCGACGGCGCTGAGGATGTCAAAGGCGTTTCTCCTGCGTTATGGTCATTAAGAGACTCATACAGATGAGGTGCCTGCTTGGCTAACAGAGTCTGAGCCGCTGGCGTGGCGCAAATTCCATTGCAATTTGCAGTTGCCCCAGCCATTGTCGCTGCCAGCGAATCGGCCTTGCGCTTTCCCTTACGACTGGGACTACCATTAGGCAGGCTGTGCATGCCAGGTACGCCATTCAAAGGGTGCTCGTGAACGGGAGACGCGACCCTTCGCGTCGAGGACGGCCCTGCCTCTGCATCGGCTTGCATGATGGGCCAATCGCTGGGGCACGGGAAGTGTGATGGTCAACATCGTTGTCCGTACTACTTTCACAGCCCAGCTACGTAGGAATCATAACCTACCTATTGCAAATCCACACGTGAAGCTGGTCACATGAAGGCCCTGCCCAAGTTTCCGTGTTGAAGAGCCGGTCGATTCCTCGCGTGATTCCGACGCCAACCTCGCCGCGAATTGGTTTGCCGGTCTTCAAGGGCCCGCGGAGCCGGAGCGCACAGATGGATTACACCCTTCGCCTCTTTCTTCAGATCATCTTTGAGAAGGGGTATATTCCTGTCCTTCAAGCTGTAGCAAGAGGGGGTTCATGAAGGGTATGAGGCGTGGGGGACAGATTCGCCTCAGTTGGAGGGCCGTAACCTATAGAGAAGCCTGAGACGCGACTGCCACAACCAGAAAGTGATGAGCGTGTCGCGCTATGCTTCTATTTCCATTTGACGGTGCTAAAGTGAGATGCGGTGAGGAGGCCCACACTGTCTCAGTGCCACTCCGCTTGTGCATCACGGATCAAGATCAGTTATTTACGACATTCAGTTAATTGATTCGATGTTCAGCTTCTTCGACTTGTCCGCTGGTCTGTCGGTCAAGCATCAGGCTGCTCGATGCGACTGCGTGCAGTGCACCTAGCTTGGCACAGAGTTCAAGGATCGATTAAGGCGTGCGAGCTATCGAGCTCAAGGGTGTTCGCCATGGACAGTTCCAACTTTCGCCTGTCAAATAGCTCCGCTTGGGCAGCGCGACCGAAGCCAGCCGAGTTTCAGCTTCCTTCCCGCGTCTGCTCCTTCTCGCTAGACTCAGAGCGTGCTTTACATCTTGACGACAGACAGAAGAAATTCTATAGGCCTCCCGCTGATGCACTGAGAAGAGGGCCGCTGGATTTGAACCATGGATTCGATCAATACATTTCTCGCAATAACATGGGTGTAAGTCGGTAACCAACTCTTCCGCTTGCACGCTACTTCGGATCCTGACGCGGACCGACCTCCTCGTGTGTGTTTTTTTATGAATAGCCTGAGAGACTGGACGCATTGCTAACTTCTCTCCAGCATGAAGCGTCAAATGATGCTGCCGTAGACGCTCAGCTACGACGAGCTGCCATCATCACTTGGCGGGGAATTGTGACAAAACTCTGCACAGCGCTGTATGCAGATCGCGATGGGTTTGAATTGAACGCTCAGATGGTGAGCCTATCAAAAAAGACTTTGATTGCGCAGCGGTCTGAGCGACTCGCTTGCTCGACCAAAATAGGTTGGCGACACCATCTTCCTAGAGGAACACGTTTCGGCAGTTCGACAGACAGATATTGAGCGTCAAGGAAGCGACGCCCGGTCCAAGCTCTTCTCATATTATGGATACAGCTTTGAGAGCTACTTCTCCTCCGGTCCTTCGCCGGACAGCAACTGCTCGGTTTGGAGCGGCGACGTAAATACAAACGAGCAATGGTGCCAAGTCGTGAAGACAAAACTGGGACGGGCGAGACTGGTGAGACCATGAAATCTCGTCATGCTGCGCAAAATGAGCACGGCAGCTGATAAAACCGCGCCGATGGGATGGCCATATTTCAGCTGATTGGCGGCGAGGTCGATTGCGTGGGATCCAAAGGCGAAATGGTAGAGCTCAAGACGAGCATGCTCATCCGGAACGCCAGAGACGAGGAGAGATTCGAGACTAAAATGCTTCGCTTTTGTAAGTCAAGTGCAACAAGGGACTGCTTTCAGCGAATCATGGTCCTCAAGGATCTTTTCTATGCAGATATGCAATCGTTTCTGCTAGGTGTCTCGGTGAGTTAAACGGGTAGCGGACCCAAATGCGACAGCAGAATTGAATGCTTGCACTCGCTTCTGTACAGACCGTCGTGGTAGGCTTTCGAGATCACAAGGGAATGTTACAAGTCCGTCTGTGCTAAGAAAATTGAGATAATGGAAGCCGCAAGTCATGAAGACTGACGCTCTCTCTCTCTAGGCGTATCAAGAATTCAAGACGCTGGAAATACCACGTTTGGTACGTGGAAAGGTGAGCAGAAATGCGAGGCAGACGACGTTGAAACTGTGCTGATCATGGTGCAAGGGAATAGCCTCATGCGTGGGATCCAAAAGCGTGTTTGAACTTTGCAGCCGCTTTGTTGGACCACATAGAGCGTCTCATGCGAACTTCGAAGACAAATCAGACCGCAGCTTCTCCAAATGTGTGGCGAATCACTTGGCAGCCAGGACAGCCGGAAGTGGCCATGCGACAGCTGAGCGAGAAACAGATCGCAGAGGATATTACCAAGGGCGAGCAAGCACGGTTCGGCATACTACCCCGAGAATTTGTCAACTTTTTGCAAAGTTCTCAGGCAAGTCATGTGACTCCTTGGACTCAGTGATGGAAATTACACCGTAGCGTAATCATTGCAACGCAAATGAGTCTGCATCGCTATCCATGCTGTCTTCTGTAAAAGCGTCCACCTTGGGACCAAAAAAGCGCCGCTTGCTGGCGGGCGTAGGAGGAGGCGATGACTTGTGGTTCCAGTAGCCATTTTGTGCATAGGAGGCTGGTGGGTACGCGTACGGAGGTAGGATGCTGTGAGGATGGTGACCGGGAAAATGCCCAACGCCTGCCGTACCCGGGGTCTCGTGGCGCGCCGCGCGCTCTTCGCGTTTCTGGCGGCGTTTCCGGCTTTGTGAACGAAAGAAAGTCAATGTTGAGTTGGCGGCATGAACAATGATGGTGAGAATTGCCAAGCAGAAGAGCTTGAAGGGCAGAAGCGGGGCTTTAATCAGGTCTGAATTCGATAGAGGCTGGACTTCAATTTGTGACCACCTCACCATGCTCTTCCAACTAATGACGTCTACGAAGCCATTGAGGATTTCGGCGAATGTCTCAGCCGCTACCCTTGCTTTTCCAACAACAGTCGGATCGCGGGCCATACACCTTGCCCACGCCTTGCACGCCGAATCTAAGGCTGGCACTGCTCCGTCCGTGCCGCAGCGATTCAGTCGGAACTTTTCGGCACACATTTGAACCTCTGACACCGCGTCTAAAAATATTTACAATGCGAAAGTCACAGGAATCAGCGCCCCTGTCCCGCCGTCGAGATACAGAACATGGCTTACCGAAAGAAGACTCGTGCACTTTGTCGCGGACGTCCTGTGCTATTGTCGATGCGACGCAATAGAGCATATAAAGAAATGCCGCAAGTAAGCTCGCATTGAACGCGAATTGCGCATATCTATGATGGCAGCACGGCGTCAACCATCTCTTCCTACTGCTTTAATACGAGCTCTTCTACAAGGTACCCACCCCAAAAGTATTTCCGGCCAGTCGAGATGACTAAGCTCTTGCTTTGTGACGGCTGGCGGGAGAAAGTAGTTGACCGCACGTGATCCCGCCCAGAGGCTGTGAGCTCCATCCTCAGTCTGAAAAACAGAGCCTGGGTAAGAAAGGGCACACAGTGCACAATTTGGCTTTACGACCACTTACTTCTCCTTCGGATGCCTCTTCCGCTCGCTCTCTTGCTTCTCGGCGCCGCTGCCCAGGCCTGGACATGTGGGAAAGCCGCTGCGACCCCCGTCGTCTCCGCACCCTGGAGACTGCACCCTTTGCAAAGAGTCTGGGCTTCCTGGCGTCGGTCTTGATACCATCATCACTTCCCCTGTGCTTTACTGGAGTTACATCACTCTCTTCGTCTTCCTCACACTCCTGTGAATGCGCTACGTCGCCGGCGTCTGGGCTGGTCGTCTTTGACTCTCCTGCTCGATCTCTGTCCTGTGCTGTCGACCTACTCGGGCCTTCACTGAGTACTAGAGAACGCTCTTGAGAGGCATCTGCCATCTCTGTGTCCAACAGAGAAGTCTCGCCATCGTGCGAAGGAGGCATACTGAAAAGGAAGGGTGCGTCGCTGTACACTGGCCCGGTGGCCCCAAACTCGAACGCTGACGAACGTGCCGAGTCTTTCACGTCTTGTATTCTCCCTAATTAGCGCGAGCAACACGTTTTCATCTCTTCTGTCAGATTCTTCTATTGATGAATCAATGACGTTGATACTCACGTTTCTGTCCCGAGGCCCATGGTGGCAAAGGCTCTGCTGCTGCACCTTCGCCTTCCCAATCCATCGGCGACTCCTTTCCTCGCTCGAACACCCGCATATAATCTTCACGGATGTGCTGATTCGATTCGTCGAAAGGCGCAAATTCTCCAAGACCAGACTAGGTAGATGGCGGCGCAGAAGGTGGTCAACCATGGGTGAGGTCTATAAGATCGTGCGAAAGCATGTCGCAAAACGGATGATGGAAATATGGAACATTGAAGTGCGAATATGGTGCAAGTAATGAGTAGAATTTACACCAAGCCAAATTTACTCGGGTGCGAGTCAGACGTTCTCTCCCACGCAACACGTGGCACGCCCGTCTCCCCGCACGCGTCACGATACTCTCCGTAGATATCGCGTGTGCCGTGGGGGTCACGCACCGGTCCTCGGCCTTCGTGGAGAGGATGGCGATTGGCGTGATGACTGGATGCCTGATCAAATGGAGAGCCCACGTCTCCAAAGAAGTTAAGTCGTCGTGGATTAGGAAGGCACCATCTCCTGCTTGTCACCAAATCGGTCAATTTTGATTGCGACTGGATTCAATGTGTTCATCAACCATCGCCTCGTGACGCATCCGCCACAGGCGCGATTCGCGGGCATTGGCTTCAAAATAGCGCTGCAATCCCCCATCCCTGCTTTTAGGTGCCAAAAATTGTTGAATCGATCAATTGCTGACTTAGGAGCAATGGCGCATTGAACAACTTTTCCCACGGTCGTCGATGCGGCATTCGAGCATTAAAGCGCCTGATGCAAAATCTATAAACGGTACGATGCAGCTGAATGGAGGTTGACATTGATAAGAGCGCATGTACTGGTCACAAAGAGAGTATGGTCTCTTTGAAAGTCGAAAAGGGATGAGAATATCAAAGAGCAATGGATGCTGGGGATGAATAGTAGGTTGATAGAGCCGATGAATGATGAAGGGTTGATAGAGGAGACATGCTGCTCGCCGGTGCAAATTTAGTGTTCACGCCTATTTCTCCTGCGGAGTCGTGGACTGCGGCGAGATCCTGAGTGCACTCTTGGCGCCTTTGTCCGCGTTGACGCCTTTTGTCACGTACAAGAAACGAAGCATTGTTATCTGACATGGCCCTGCGAGTACTTGTAGTTGGTACGCTCTTTCGGCTTCATCGCGCCCTGAAAGTAGCCAAGGCCACTGTAGAAATCGTACTCAACATACTTAGGAGCGAACGCCATCGGATTGCCTGCGGCCACGCATGGCATGCCGACGACGCACGCCTTGGACGACTTAGAGTCGTCGGAAATGGTCAGACACGTTGCCGAGTCTTCCTCCGGACGGATTTGACAGAGGACGGGATCGACGAGACGGTCGGATGGTTGTGGTCATGGATACGGTGAAGCCCTCCGGTGGTAAAAACCCGCGCTTGCTGCAAACTATGCGACTTCACCTCTCAGGCAAGAGCTTAGCGTAAAAGGGTGAAGTAGTGGACGCGAGGCAAAGCTGGATTCAGGTGAATAGCTTCGCTCCGAGCGCTGCAAGACCATGCTCAACGCCGGGATACGCCGCTGTGAAGCACGATTGTTCTTCCGAGCGCCAGGGACACAGTGCCAAGCATGAAGCATCCGAGTGAACGAAATACCAAATACACCCGCACTCGGAATTAGCGAGAACAGATCCGATCCCCAAAGCATTTGCTACTAAAAGTCACCTGTTCTTCACGTGGGGCTCTGGCCTTTTGGAAAAGATGATCTTCTTCCTGACAATGGAAACGACTTCGTAGAATGTCGAGGTCGGTCCAGCTTTGACTTTATCTGCAGTGCTCCGTCGCGCGAGCCCTTCCCGTCGCTGGAGGGGAGAGCTGCCGGGCCTGCTGCTCCAGTCGTCGTCAGTCGCGTGAGTGGGAGATGAAGAAAAGTCCAGTGCGTCTTTAACAGCAGGAGCGCGGATGAGACTGGAGCTTTTGTGATGCTTTTCCAGATATTTGCTTCCGTCGAGCTTCTGTCGCTTCCGCGATATCGACGGTAAATGGGCTGTTCCTGCGCACTCATCTACGTTCGTGGGGTCCGTCTCGGCTTCGCCAGCAGATGCATTGCTCATCAGTGAGTCTGCTCGCACGCGCACGCGACTTGTCCGAGCCCCTCTTCTCGTTGCCTTTGTTATGCCGTCTTGCATTGTCTCCTCCATCACATTCGCTGTGCCTTGGACTTGGTCGCCCTCCTTCTCACCAGAATGTGCTGATTCTTTCCCTGCGCGCCTCTTCTTTTCTAGTACTGCCAGAGGCTTTTGCAGTGAAACGATTTTGCCTTCTAGTCGATGATGCGACACAGTCAGTACTGGGTGCTCCTGGATGGTGATGTGGAAGAAGTGGATACTAGTCAGTCAACTTTTCTGAGTCATGGACGTGGCGTGGCACGTCATAAAAATACGAACCGAGATACCCTTCTCGAAGCTAAGAGTGCCCAGCAATTGCGCTCCTTCTCCACAGTCCTCCAGCCCACTCATTTCTAAAGAGCCTTGCAGCTCGATGAGGACGAGCTCACCATTCGGTGTAAGGCGTGTCAAGGACGAAGGCACATTGTCGCCAAAGGTAGGTGTGGGTCGCCTGCTGCTGCCGTGATTGAGATGGAGATGTATTCGCATCGTGTTTTAGACTGAAAAGCGACTAGAAAAAGTAAGACGGAGTTTCCCAGTTTGAAGGCGCATATCTAGGCGAAAGATCTTTCGACTAAAGCGTAGCGACTGAGGTGCCAGCAAAGGCATGTGAGTTGAAAGGGGGGGGGGACGAACGCAGGTGATGGACTCATAAGGTCGAGTAGTGACGCGGGTTGATTCCCTCGATAAAGCCTCACGTCACGCGGTGGAGTGTTGAGGACGCGTCGCGTCGCACCTATCCAACCTAGGATTCCATGGCAAATGCTTATGCGACGGAGCAAAGATGAGTTAATGGGAAGGTCGAGGCTCGAGGCATGTTATGTAACGACGCGCCTGCTTTCTACACCCTCATTTGTCCTTGATATCTCCCCTCTATGCCCCGCGACGGTGCGCACGGCGTGAAAATGAAGCTCGGGGTTGAAGGTGGCGCTCATCGCGGCACCACAAGTCTTCAAAGTGCAAGCCAGATACTGGCAACTCGCAATGATGACGCACAGCTGCCTGAGAACCTGAGGAGACATGCTAAGACATTCTGTCTTTCCACCGGGTTGGAAGGGCTTGACAAGTCTTTGGGGCTCTGGAAGTCTCCATCAAGCGCTAGAGTGGGTCTCGCACCAGGCTCAGTTCTCGAGGTCATTGGACCCAAAGGGTCAGGGAAATCCAGTCTGGCTGCAGACATTGCCGCACGATGGGCGCTCTCTGCAGCAGAGGTTGACACAAATGGAGCCGAAACACAGCCGTTAGTCTATGTCATTAGTGAGCTGATAGTGATGTTAAGACCTGGCGCTGCTGCCAACGTACTGAGTCTTCTCTCCTCACGCTTCAGATACAGAGGGCGCTTTAGACTGTGAGAAGCTCGTCGCAGCGATCGAGGCGCAACAAGTTCAGGTATCTGCTGCAGAAGGTAGCATGCAGTCTTTAACGGTTGGTGTCTCGCCTCCCAGAGATGCATGCGAATTAGCAATGAAGCGAATCAGGTATGCTCGTTGCACCAGCCTCGTTCAATTTGTCGCAATATTACGCCTCTTCAGCAGCCCGCATTTCGACTTTGACATCTCGCGCCACCCTTTTCCGGCCCTCATCGATAATCCTACGCAATGTCTCATCGTTGTAGACTCAATAGCAGAGTTTCTCCGAGCCAGTTGCATTACCGATGACCAAAAGAAACAAAGGCGGACACTCATGAAGCTTCTGGGCGAGTTCGGAAACACGACACGTACTAGGGGAGCGACTGCAGTCGTCACGAACAGCATGGCGTTCAAGCTAGTGAAAGATTCGACATCGCTTCGCGACGGACGAAGAGGTGTGTTGGTTCCGCAAGTCAATGTCATTAGAGACACGCAACAGGATCAAGGATACCTCGTGGGGCTCCAAAGACGAGGCTCGCGCCAAGGATCAGGCGACGGCGCCGAGATCCGAAAGTGGGAAAGTGCGCTTGGAAGGGACGCCTGCCGCGTGCTCCTTCGCTGGTCAGAGTATCCTGCCTGTGTCAGGTGAGTCAGCCTGCTAATCCGCAAGGCCGGCAAGGGCCTGCAATTGACCAGCACGGTTGTGCTCCAGAGTCGCACATATCCTTCCCCCTCCTTCCTCATCCAAGACGCGGATCTCGGATACACCAACCACACCTCCAGTTTTTTTCTGCATCAAAGATGGCCGCATAGAAGCTATAAGCGGTATTACTATGCAAGAAACGCTACTGTAGTTAGAGTGATACATAGCAGACCTAGGAGATAGCCATTCATTATGTAGCAAATAATCCAATTGTAGCATATTCTCGTCCACATCAATCAGCACGTACAATAGTGTAGAATCTAGATGGACTAAAGTTCTCTTTTGCCGGTTGTGCCTGTCGTTTTGGCAGTCCCTTATTCCATTGGCTTTTGACCCACGGATGACTTTGTACGTGCCTCCGTGTATGAACTCGTTCGCTGTACAGGCTGCCGTTTGCCCTCCGCAGAGCCGCACGGCGTGCCTGAATTCCTGATTGTGAAGGCACTTTTCTTCGCGATGGATGCGGCCGGCCGCGCCCATACTCGGCCATTCCTCCGAGTACCGGAGGTCATCTCGCGGCCCCGACAGGCTGCCCGAAAGCTTGGTTTCCCAGGGACGCCTTATGTCACGCATTGCCGCTCGGCGCCTTCTTCTTCCAATGTCATCGCGGCGAGCGATGATGGGATTCTTCACATCGTGGACAAGACGAATGGTACGGAAGTGTGGACGCACAAGTGGGAACAGGGACGGAAGGTAACGGATCTTTGCACAGCGACTCAAGGATGGGTGACCAGTGGCGAAGCAGGCGTTGTTGGCCTTTGGGACGGGCGGAAAGCCGGGCCGTCGAATCATCTTTCATGTGAGGATATTCGCAAGAATGGAGACTTTTAATAGGATCTGAATTTCTTTCTCTGCTTTTCCAGGCCCGCATAATCGACCTTACTTGTCTGTCGCTGCTCAGACCGCTGGCGCCGGGCCGATCGTTGCAGCGGGGTGCGAGATGTCGGCTGGCGATGCGTACATCGACATATGGTATGTTTGGTCAGCTCATGTTGGGTCGCTCCAAAACTGACGGCACATATGTGGTCCTTTGCATTGTAGGGACCTACGATCACCGGAAGCCCCAATATTCTCCTATGTCGAATCTCACTCAGACGACGTCACCGCCCTTTCTTTCTCTCCTTACAACCCAACGAACCTGTTGAGCGGCGCGCAAGATGGCCTGATTGCAGCATATGACCTTCTGATAGGAGCAGATGAAGACGACGCAGTCATTGCAGTTGGAAACACCGGCGCCAGCTTGGCAAAGATCGGGTGGGGAGGCGCGAAGGCGGGTCTGGGCAAGAACTTCGTCAAAGCAGGGGAAGAAGACAAAATCGACCAGAGCGATATGCAGATCGATGGAGAGAAGCAAGCGAATGAGAGGAAAGGCATTGGTTGCGCCTGGGCCGTATCGGATATGCAGACTGTCAGCATCTGGGATGCGGATAAGGTGCACAAGTTTGGAGTGCCGTGAAGCTCTGGGCTTGAACTGACGCTTTGAACTCCTCAGTTTGATATGATCCTCTCTCCAGAGGACGCTCGGCAACCATACAGCGTTTCTCCCCCTTGGGAAAGTGACTTCGTGATCGATGCATGTGACACATCAGCGATGGGAATTTCTGGGCTTGAAGATGGGGTGATTCTGTTCACTGGAGACCCAGAGTGAGCAGTACCGCCTCCTCTGGCGCAGGAAGAATCACTGACTGACAACACATTGATTTTACAGGGGCGGAGCCGCTATCATCCACATCGCATCTCCGTCTTCACCAACTGCCATACCGCCCGTATGGAGTCTTCTTGGCCTGCTGCCCAAGAGCAGCGAAGTTTGTTCCGGTATGGCGCATAGCGACATTGTACGATGTGTTGACTTCGATGTGTCCACTCGAACCATCACAACTGGTGGGGAGGACGGCAGAATTTGCATCTGGTCACTCGATGGAAGTGAAATTGCAAGGGACGAGGCCGGGAGGCTGACAGCCGCACCGATCGCCGCCCCCGATGCCATCGTAGGCTCCGGCTCTGTGACCGAAGGAGGCAGGGATCGGGGCAGCCTTCTAGCGGGCTCTGGCAAGAAACGATATAAGCCCTACGGCTAATCGGAAGCAAAGACATTCAATACCATGTCGACTGCACACCCTCATGCGTTCATTCTGCTGCCTGCCCTTTTACCGTACCGGAGAGCGCGAGCGTGACCGTGCGCTGACTGTGCGATACGATCTTCCTCGATCCCGCTGGATTCGGGGCTGTCGCGAACCCTGCCGTTTCTGCGGGGCCTTGTGACTGTGCCTGCTCTCATGAGCCTTTTCCATGGGTGATGTTGAACATTGTCTTTCGTTCTGTCTCTGCTTCTCTTTGTCCCGTTCGCGCTTCCAACTGAGCCTTTTGCTACACCTTGGACACAACACCACTTTGACAAGGGCCTGCTTTTGAACTAGCTCGCTGAGGGACAGTTGCGTGGATGATGCGCCGTCTGTCGCTTCTAGATACGTGAAATCGAGCTGATACGTGGTGAGCGCAGGTTGGTCTTGTGACTCGGCGCCGATAGACGGCAGGCGCTTGTGGTGTTTGCATCGGATCCCGCCGCACGCTGTGGAGTGATCAGTTTGGTCGGTGGAACCGAAACCTCAACGTCAGCATTCAGTTTGCTGATGAAGCTGTGTGAGGAACGCTCAGCTCACTGAATTGCCCAATGCCGTCAATCAGCTCGTCCTCTGTTCGCCAGCGGAGGGCGACATTGCCTGACTTGAAGTGTTTCAGATCAATCACGGCGTACTGTATGCCAGATGCATCATCAGCAGACCGTTTCACCGTCCAACAAGGCTTGACTCGGGCGCTTCTAAGCTGTTGCTGATCGTACCTCTTTGTAAAGTTGGTTGTAGTATTTAAGCGCCACCAACTCCTCGTAAGGAAGGTTACTGCTGTTGGGCTTCACGTTGACTTGGGTCAGATCCGCGCCTGCCACATCGTCTTGCCGTAGAAATCGATGATTTTCCCTGAGCACGTCCCAATCTGTTCTACCACGAGCCTTCAGCTCATCCAGATACGCTTTGCCGCCATCTCGCTCGTAGAATGTCCGAACACTGGATGGAATAGAAGGTCGCAGGTAAGTAATGCCCAACGATTTGTCAATCGGATAGGGATGGAGAAAGTAATAGCTCACAAATTCTTTGCCCAGCGCTCGTGCTGCTCGTATTCGTCACTGGCTTTCTGCTTGCTGCTCATTTCGACCTCATTTACCATGTGTTGTAATAAGTTGAATGTGAGATGGATGCGGGGGCTGTGAAATGTTTAAACGGCGAGATCCCCGAAGGCCTAATACGGCTGTTGAAGTGAACCAGTCCTCAGATAGGCTTCTAGGTATATACACACCAGCCACCACCGTCCATTTCAACTATAAGTACAGTTCGGGAGACATCCTCACTTGTGAATCGCGATGCAGCTGGATTGTCTGGGTTCGATGTGTTGACGCTTCAGGACACAATGCAACAACACTGAGATCTGAGGGCTCTGGCAAAATCCTGAATCACCCCAGCCAAGGAGAGCAAATCGATTCGGATTTTTGACTGCATTACATAAAAACAATCGAGCACACAAAAGCGGAGAATATAGCTGCGAGAGGGCGAAAAGCTGGAGAAAGTCAACGCACGGCCACCAGAGAACATGCCGCACACTGAGTTGACTGCATTAGGTTGCGCAGATTTGGAGAAAGGGACATTCATGGCATGAATGGGTGGGTGTGGCATGCGGTGCTCGTTGCGCGGCAGCGTCCATTGCCAAAGCAAGCTCGTTATCAGCGTAGGGTCGCAATTCAAATCACTGGCTAGTACGGTCTCCCTCCATCTCCTGCTGGCATACCGCCGCCGTATGCGCCATAATCGTAGCTTTGCCGAGGCGGCCCACCGTATGCTGGCGGTTGAGCCGGGTAGCCAACCGGCGCAGGTACGCGGTTCTGGTCTGCGAACGGGTTATGGTTTCGCTGATCCAAGTTGTCCCGCCCCGTTGGGCCGCTTCCGTAGCTTCCAGGGATGCCAGGCGCATTGTCATCGTATCTACCGGCTCCGATTGCGCCAGGGCCCGTCCCTGCGCCGGCTCCGTAGCGGCCATCGCCACCTTCGCCATACCGGTGAGAAATTCCGGCATAGTCACCGCGGTCGTCATCTTCGTCCACATCTTCGCCAGTGTACTGTATCGGCTCGAACGCCGAGTCATCGATGGGATGCTGGAAAGGTGGGATGCGCGGGCCATTCTTGCGGCCTACCCGCCAAACTCGGAGGAACAGGACGAGCGTTGCGATCCAGGACACTGAGCGCATAAGAGGCGAAAGGAGTCTGTAAGCGTGTGACTAAAGCGTATAACGCGTGCAATCCGACGGAATCCAATGACGCACATACGAGAAACCAGGCGAACGCCGTCTCCGCCCGCTTGCTAGTGCAAAAGGACCCAAGGGCAGAAATGTAGTCATCTTTGCTTCCTTTCTGCTTGCCGACGCTCGGGTCATTCGCCGGGTTCTTGCATGCAGAGCTCGTGGTAGTAGAGATGGTCTGTACCATAGCACAGAGGCCCGTGATGATGGCCATGATACCATTCAGAATTATGTTGACCCTCCCCTCACGCAACAGGCGCGCGGGTCTTTTGACAGCGTTGAAGCCACTGCGCTCATGAGCGAAAGGAATAGCGGTGACTGCAAATACGACGATGATGTTGAGCAGAGCGATGAACAGCAGGAAGCCAGACAGTCCAGATGGAGCGCCGAGCCATTTAGATTGGAACGAAGAAAGCACGATGGCTACGATGAGGAAGATAAACCCGAGGACGATCTGAACACCACGGGCGATGAGCTCTGAAGTTGGTAAGAAGTCCTTTGAAGCGAACAGCGAGCAACACGTAGAAGCAATTCAGAGGCGCTGCTCATCTCCCGATACTGCGCACTCCCGAAGCAATTCTCACAACAGTGTAGTTGGCCGTGTTGACGGGCCCTTGGCTCCCAATGCCAGTGCCGAATCTGCTCTCTTTTGCCCCACCACTGGGGCCCGCTGCATTCCCGTTCAGCTTGTTTGCCATTCGCTGGAAGCTCATGAAGTATGGCATCTTGGAGCGCGATCACTGATGTCGCTGCCCGTGGTCAGGCGCGCGCGTCAATCTGCGGCAGCGCGGTCAATCGTGCACAGTCCCTTTGAGTCCTTGGCTCCTTGCGCAAGGTGGCCTGGCGGGATCCCTTCGAAGACCTCGATGACGGTGCTGGCGCACAATTATCTCGACGGTAGAGCTGCAGGTGGTGTGTAGCATACATGCTCAACCTTCCATCCAGCAGATGAACGACAAGCAAGTCAACAAGCGATTCCCCTATATACAACAAAGCCTACCAGGCACTGCCGCACTAGCAGGGCACGCGTCGCTCGAGATTCGAGGCGAAACCCGCCGGGCCACAGTGTCGGAACCCGGGAGGTTCAACATACTGGCAGAGGGAGAGCGTGGCATAAGTTGCACAGCACGAAGGCCATGAATTTTCTTACGTAATGAACACTGATATTCTGTCCCCGCACTAGACTCTTGAAGGTCGTTCCAGCTTGCAGGTCTTCCTGCTCGTCTCTCTTTTAGGAGGGGCCGCAAGTGACACCGCACGCTTTTCTCTTCTGGTACGCATCGGATAGAGCGCATTGGCTCGCAACAGGTAGCGGAAAGTTCAACTCTCTGCAGACACTTCACGCCACGTTTTTGCGCCATGTTGAAGGTTGAATCCCCAGCGTCACAGTCATGGGCCGCATACTTTTGGACACAGTTCCATGGAACCGCCTCGCACCAGCAGCTTGTCGAATGGCTTACTAACGTGCAATCGAAGTGGCCAACGTACGAGCCGCTCCTAGTCAATCTCTTGTGCGCGATATTTGGCGTCTGGGTCTCCTTCAAGATATCCTTGCCCCTCAAGAAATGGTTCGACGAGCGTGCGAACCCCATCCGCCTCGAGTGCCCTCTTGCCGCGTGGCCAGGCTACAGTGGTCCAATTTTGGAGGAGCTGTCCATCGAGGCCAAGGACAAGCCAGGAATGATTCAATGCTATGACCCGGCGACAGGTTACCATCTCGGTGATGTACTAGCTGATACCGCTGAGACGATCAATGTGAAAATCGAGTGTGCCGAAGCGGCACAAAAGAAGTGGAAGAAGAGCAGCTGGGCAAAGAGACGGCAGCTGATGAACTCAATCCAAAAATGGATCATCAGTGACTGCGAGACGATCGCTAGAGTTGCTGCCCGTGACACGGGAAAGACGGTGCGTGCCAATAGCCCAGTGTTTCTGAAACTCTGCCGCTTCTGGCTAATATGTCGCATGTTGAAATATCCTTGCATAGGCCGTCGATGCTGCTTTCGGTGAATTGCTGACAACATGTGCTAAGACCGCATGGATCTCAAAGAATGGAGAGAAAGTGCTCACACCGGAGACGCGACCTAACAACCTGCTGCTTGCGCACAAGACTTGCAAGGTCTTCCATGAGCCATATGGCGTTGTCTGCGCCTGTGTCAGCTGGAACTACCCGGCTCACAATGTGCTCGGTCCAATCCTGTCCTCGCTCTTCGCCGGCAATGCTATTGTCATCAAGTCGTCTGAGCTGGTTGCCTGGTCTTCCTCCTGGTTCATCCTCGGCATCCGTGCCTGCCTAGCGTCCTGCAACATCGACCAGAATCTCGTCCAGCTCGTCACCTGCTTCCCAGAGCACGCCGAAGCCCTCACGCAACACCCCAAAATAGCACACATCACCTTCATCGGCAGCGAGACCGTTGGGCGAAAAGTAGCGCAAGCAGCTACGAATGAGCTGACCCCCGTCACTCTCGAGCTGGGCGGAAAGGACCCGGCAATCATCCTGAAAGATGCTAACCTTAAGTACTTCAATTCGACGTTTATGCGTGCCTGCTTCCAAGCGGTCGGTCAGAATTGCATTGGTATCGAGCGCTTTGTCGTATCGGACGCTATTGTCGACAAATTCATCGCAATCATCGAGCCGCGTATTAAAGCCTTGCGGTGTGGATCTTTCCTTGACGATACTCCCTTTGCGCGAGGCTTCGTCGGTGAGCCTCCGCAGTCGGACATAGGGAGGGAAGTCAGCAAAAAGGGCAGCAACACGGTCAAAGAAGGGACTGATCAGCAAGTCGACTGCGGCGCCATGATCTCTGATGCTCGATTCGGGCATCTGGAAGCGCTCATCGAGGATGCCGTCAAGCAAGGTGCAAAGCTGCTCGTCGGAGGCAAGCGCTGGCAACATCCCAAATGGACAAAAGGCCACTACTTTCAACCGACGTTGATCACGAACGTCACACCGTACGTGCGCTGACCGGCCGCTCCCCTTTCGAAAGCCAGAGACTGACCTGGCCTTGTGTGTTCTAGTGACATGATGATCGCCCAAGAGGAGCTCTTTGCTCCTATCTTCCTCGTCCTGCCCTTCAAAGGCGAAGATTGGAAACAAGCCGTGGCAATCGCCAACTCAACGCGATATGGCCTCGGCTCTTCCGTCTTTGGTGGCAACCGTGGCATCTGTGAAAAAGTGGCAGACGGCCTGGACGCAGGCATGGTTAACATCAACGATTTTGCTGTCTCCTACCTGAATCAAGGCTTGCCTTTCGGTGGGGTCAAGAAATCCGGCTATGGGCGTTTCGCAGGTCCAGAGGGTTTGCTGGGCGTCACCACTCCAAAGGTTATCACACGCGACACCTTTTTCAGCATCATCAGGACAGGCATCCCGAGGCCGTTGGACTATCCTTTCAACAACGCTATCACAAGTTGGAACTGTACGTCTTCCAGATTCAGCGGATTGGTTCGAGTTGAAATGCTGACTCGACCGCGTACTTCCCTTTGCTGGTCCTGGCAGTTGTCTGCGGTCTGCTGAAATTTGCATACGGAGAGTCTGACGAGTCTTTCAAAGGGCTCGGCCAGCTCATTTGGAATGCTTGGTAGTGTTGCCAAGCGAGACTTCTACGCAGATTCACAGATCATAGACAAACGGTCTCTCTTGTGCACATAGATATTGCATACATGTGCAACTGAGCTACTGTACAAGTGGCAGCGCTGTCGTGCTTGTTCTGCCTGGGCCATCAATTCTTCTTTGGTCGCCTTTTTACTTCGTCCTCCTTGGTCGCGTGGAGAAAGATCTGATTGGGCTGCGATGGCCCAGCGTACTGGTATCCCTTGTGCCAGTCGTAGCTGACCGCATATGCAAAGATCGATCCGTTGCGGTTGAATGCCGTCGCCGAGATCGGTCCATTTTTGGCTTCAAACGTCTTGAGACGTGTTTTGCTATCTTTATCCCAGAAGTTGATGGTGCCATCGGAGCCTGCCGTTGAGAAGGTGCCTTGGATCGGATGGAAGCTGATAGCATTGACAGAAAAGAGCTGTTGAGGCTCCCTTGGTACTGGCGAGTCCTTCCTGTGACACTTGAACGAGAAGTTGAGACTGTGACGACGGAGGCCATGAGCATTTTGTCTCCATAGCATATGGACACAGAAGCCTACCTTTTGTTTTCCTCCTTGATGTATTGAATGGCAACGCGGCCCTCAATGCTGCCGACGGCGTAGCCGGGCGGGAAAGGCTGCCCTGGCGGGTCGTTCCTCTGGAAGCAGCTGACGACGCGTGTTTGCCACTTAAGCGGGCTGTCGAGTGTCATGATTGGCGATCCTGGGTTAGCTGCGAGATCGAAGACTTGAATCTTTCTCTCCCCTGTCCCTACGACCATGTACTGCCCGCTGACATCCATTGAGTAGCATCTCTCCGCCAGCTGTGCTGTCGCTATTGGTTGCTGTTGCCGCAGGTCCCAGTACTGTTGGAACACAGCATTATGAGCAATCAATCAAGCGTGCGCGACCACTCGACAGCTCCTCACCTTGACTGTCTTGTCCCAACTTCCCGTGGCTACAATGCCGCCGTTCAGATCGATCCACCGCATGGCCTTGATAGGTTGGTCGTGAGCAGCAATTTGCGAGCTTTGCCCAGTATTCACATCAAACATTCGACCAGCTTTGTCCGCCCCGCAAGAAAGGATTTTGGTCCCATCCTGTACTTGGTCGAATTAATTGAGTAAAAGACAAGTCCACGAGCACGAATCGGTGTGCTCACTTTGCTCCACGTCACATCTAGTACCGGCCCCTCGTGATTGTACGTCGCTTTTCCCGATGTACTTCCATTCCCTTCGATGCCGTAGATACGAACCTATAAAGTGGTACTGGGATCAGTGTTCGCTCTGCCTGTGGCGCTGGGGGACCTGCGACCACGGGTTGCACATGACGCACTGAGTTATCCCAGCTCGAAACTGCGAGGAATTCCGCTTGTGGCGAGAAGCTGAGTGCTGAAACACTGTCTGTCGGAGGCTGGGCAACCTCAATATCTTTTACTGCCGGAGCAGGTTGGTTCATGGTCGTCGAACCGACGCCAAAACCCGACGTGCCCCCGAAGGTGTTCGTTGCTGCACCAAAGAGGGACATGATGGCCACTTTCGGCGACAGATCAGCGTGAAAGTCGTGTAGTCGTCTGCGATTTGATAGCCACCAGCGGCGTCCGACGGACGTCTCATAAATGTCGCACTAAAAGATGCCAGAGTCCTTGTGGTGTGTGAGCAAGTGTGAGGATCATATTCCAACAGCTTTCTTTTGGCCTTGTTCCCTGGACCTGCGGGCGTCTTTGCGTTCCGCCTTTCGACGACCATCGTTGACTCCCAAGTTACTCATCGATCAGTACTCTGATGTGACGACGGTAAAACACGCTCTGACGGCTCGTTCTTCAATCATAGCTTCGCGAGCTCGACTGTGTATAGCAGTGTGCTGAATTTTGCCGCATGCAAAGTGGCCTTCGCCTCTTCTTGACTAGTACTCTCAATGTTGTAATAAGTTTCGCGCCAGATCAAGGAGCGGCCATTTTCCGCCAGCGCCAAGATCTGCTCCGTAACGAAGGCCCAAGCTTTGGTACACCTATGCTACATGGTATTCAATTGATAGTGATGCTTTTTCGAGATGCAAGATGCGGGATGCGAACTACCTGATCGGGTAAGTGCGTGCTAGAACTTTCCAAGGGAAATCCAAGAATTTGCAGTTTGGTTGGAAGAATCGTCGAAAGCGTTGTCGAGATGGCGTAGTAAAGCATGTGTGTTTTCGACTTCCAAGCCGCCCTTCACCTTTGCGAAGAGCATGGGACAGTCAAGAGATACGCACGGAGAGTCCTCTGGATGCGGGAACGAGCTACACGACGCGCAAATGCGCGACATGGCAAGCTGCCGTTGCTGCGCGACGTGCAACCTGGAGGTGACCCGCAAGGTGCTTGCTTGTGGTGCAAGGCGGCAATCAAGACAAAGCACTTCAAGGAGGCAACAACATCAGCGGACGGTTGGCAAGATGTTTGCGAGTTGCTCACCCTTGTCTGTGGTCTCACCGCAAATCAGGCAGTGCTCGACGCGGTAGTGCTCCGCAAGGGTGAGGCGCTGTACTTTGTGACCTGCGTCGGCCAAGTCCAGCTGCAGGCGGCCTTGATAGATTGGCCGAACGCGCGGCATTTCTTTGAACCACCGCTCCACATCAGCACCGAGCAGGTTGAAAATTCGAGCAAGAGGCTGCATGATGCTCCGTTCGATGTAGTATATCCCATTCAGGTGAAGTCCCCTGGAAGTGCAGTCTTCAAGTCAGCCTTCAGTCGCATAAAAGGAATTACCTTCGCTCACGGATTCTGTAGCATGACTTCAGGAGAGACCGCCTGATCATTGAGTTTGGCTTTTGGCTCTCCTTGTGAAATAATATAGGGAACGCGCTCGGCGTACTGAGGTTCAGCTCTTGGGTCCAACATCATCTTGCGCGTTGCAACCGCCACGCCAGGAGGTGGAGGGACTTTGTCACTATATGATCCAATTCGCACCTCCTTGGCGATGACGAAATCTTGCAGGTTGACTCGGCCCTCAAGAATCTTCTGCCATTGACGCAGCAAAAAAAACTTGACTTGCGATAAGTCTCGGGTACGGAAGAGGATCCGAATGCACGCTTCTTGGATGCGCTGAAGCGCGGCGTTGCCGTCGCGTCGAACGGTCTCAATACCTTTCGCATCGAAGGTTGGAATATCTTCGTCGGGATGCTCGAACTTGTAGCCGACGTAGCGCTTTTTGGCGAGCAGAATGCTCGGAAGATAGACCTTCTCGAATTTTAGCTTCACTGGTTTCGGGTTCTGTGCGGTGACCTTATTCGCGATGTCGTTGCCGATCTTAAAGGCATCGTCTTTCGTGCGTCCCTCCAGGTAGATGAAAACCGAGTCGGTGTCGCCGTATACCACTTTGGCGCCCCACTTTGGCTCATTGTCGATGATCTGTATTGCCTTCTCCAAGGTTTCGCGCCCGTACTGCACGATGGAGTCTGCAATTTCGACACATGGCATCCGGCCAGAGAAGGAGGCGCTTGTGTAGCCATATGTGACATTTGCCAGTAACTTAAGCGAAAGTTGTCTTGCGTTCTGAAGCCGCAGAAAGACTTTGTCGTCCTTGACCCCCTTTGTGGACCCTTTTATCATGACGCGGGTCTCCAGAATCTCGCTGAGCATCTTTGCCAACAGGCTGCGACGCACGTGCGGCTTAACATAGATGAGACCATTGGGTGAGATAGTGATGTCGTCTTTGAGGAGTGTCAACAGGCCTCGAGGGGGATTCAGTTCTGAAAAGCCAAATTTCTGGACGCCCTTGAAGTCCGCAACGCGGCCTAGACAAGTTGAGTAGCAGATGTTGTACGCGATCATCACACTTGGGTAGAGAGATTGGAAATCAAGCACGATGAGCGGCCCCTTAAAGAAAGCTGATTGAGGTTCCATAATGAGAGGAATGCACTCCGCCGCATTTTGCGAGGCGACCTGTATCGTGCTAGGCGACGGCAAGATGAAACTTTCTGGCTTTGCTATGCGGAACATGACCGATTCAACCTTGAATTGCGAGCCCCGACTGAGGACAGAGAAAAAATCGACTCCGTAGATCTTTGAGAACTCAGCTGTGCGCATGACGAGCTCGGAAGCTTCAAGAATCTCGAGGTCCGTCTCCGCACGACTGACCATCACTGCGATCACCCGTCGGAGGAGCTCAGGCGTCTTCACAGCTCGCCACCAGGCAGTGAGGGTTGCTGAGGAAAACTTGGGTACGCGCCGATGCAATAGGTGGTAGACAATGTTCTCGTAAGTGTACTGCGTAAGTGCAACTTCCCCGCGCATTAGGCGCCAGATGTTGAGAACATGTCGACCCGTGATGCGTAATGCAGACGTTTGTGTGTATCCCCAATTATCCAATTTGCCTTTGGTGATTCCAGTCGAACTCTCTTTGACCCTGCCAAGTTCGAGCACCATGTCAAGGTCGTACGCCTTGTGAGCTCGCTCGATGATGTACCCCCAGGACTCGTTGTGGATCTCGTATCCGACCAGGATCTCAGGATCGAATTTGCGCACCAAGGTAATGAGCGTGACAAATGCGTCTTCCTCTGTCGCCACCACATGCACCTCACACGACAGGGCCACCCTTCCCATGGCTGTCTCATCGCGTGCCACAACGATAACGCCTGTCCTGAGACCCGGTCTCGAGCCTGTGTCCTCGAGCGTCTCGTCCTCGTTTTGGAAGCTGTAAGCAATGACGCCAATTGGGTCGACTTCAGGATTTGGCAGCAACTCTTTGCGTGAGCAAGCATGTGCCTCAAGCGCAAAGACCGTCATGTGTTGCTTTCCGCGGTGCACAAGGGACGTAGGCTGGTGATGCGAGAACTTAAAGTTATACGTAGCCTCTGCCTGCTGCTGTGTCATCTTCTCGATCTGCGACAGCAAACGCTTGCGACGCCGTCTCTGACTCTGAGCAGCGATGGCTCGCTCCCGACGTACCCAAGCAAAAGTTTCAACCCGACTCGGCGCTGAATGCAGATACTCCCACGCGCAAAAGCAATGCTTTCGGCTTATGCGGCCGCCGACCGTCTCCGAATGTGCAGCTGCATGGTCGTTGCCGTTCCCGACTCGTTCATCACGCGAGCAATGTTCGAAATCATCGAGAAATGGCAATGTGATCGACTTGAAGGTGAAAGAGCGCCCCGCATACTCCCTTGGGCGATCAGGAACGTCAGCAGGGTTGCTAAAGAAGGGAGCGGCGTGATCTTCGCGAGGAAGGTTGAAATCGGCAAACGTGTTCATCACTTCGTCCTTGCTGGGAGCCACGTACGCGAACTGAAAGAAAGTTGCACCCGTTTCAGCCGTGTGTGAGGCCCTCGATGAACTGTCCGCCTTGGTATATGAGCTGTTGGGCACACTGGAGCTGACACGAGAAGCAGGAGTGGCAGGCGCTGTAGCTACCGTTGGGTGTTTAGAAGCATTAGTGTCTGGCAATTCGACGAATGCGACATGCTGCCGATTCCTTCGAAGATGTATCGTTGGCGTCTCCGGAACTAATGATTGATTGACACCTTTTCGACGATTCGCGATCCTTGTCACTTGCAATGAGTGTTCCGAGCTTCGCCCGAGATCAGAAGCCTCTGCGCCTTCCATTCCCAGCGATGAGGATTTGGTGGGGGCGAAGCCATGCGCTGGAGTCTCAGGAGCATGCCGCTTCGTCAAAGTTACTAAGAATTTCGTGCTACTGTCCTTTGCCGCGAAAGCTGCTGAAGGAGGTGTGAGCGCCGCCGCCGCTCGCCTATTAGTGGCATGAAAGCGCTTGTTCGGGGTCGAGGGGTTCGAAGTAGCCTTGCGCTTCGCACCATTCGGCGTACCCTGCACCGGCGATGCAGCCAGCTCGTCTGCAAGCGCATCGACTTCCTTCTCTCCTTCTGATTCGTCACCGGCATCCGATCCCTCTGCATGGTGTGCTTGAAGCTCCACCTGGCGAAGGCGCGCCTGGAACTCCTGGGATTGAAAAAAATCGAGATCTTCCTGAGACTGCATTTGAGGCACAGCAGCATGACTCGAGCGATCCTCGTCCGCTAGGTGGACCTCGTTCGAGCTCTCATTGTTCGCTGTGTCCCCCAAGCAGAGAATCGCTGGAGTAGAAGCGAGACCTGCCTTCGGGCCGGTCGTTGTTGAATTGGATCCGCCCGATGAGTTTGTCGCGACTGGTTGCTGCTGATGCTCGCGGTCGAACAACGGCGGGCTGCTGCTCTTTGCAGTCCTTCTGGGGCTTTTGAGTTTGCTGCTTCCAGTGCCAGCGTTCCCAGCCACACCTGCTCCCGCACCCCCGCTAGCCGCATGGGTATTCCTCTTCTTGCTTGAACCATGCTCACCGCTAGATGCCGTGCTTTCCACGGCGGCCGTCATCGAAAACTGCGAGCTAAATGGGTTATACGGATCGTTGATGATTTGTGCTACCTTTCTCGTCCTCCTGTGGTCTTCGTGCATGACGTCCACACTGTCAAAAGCGCTTACAATGTACTTTTCCAGCGCATGCGGAGCCGTCAGGCGCTCTTTCAGTCTTTCCTTCAGTATCGCCTCTTCGCGCTTGACCATTTCGTCCTCATTCAGAAATATTCCTTCCTTTTCGCCTGAGGAATGAGAGTTCGGGTTCGCCTTGTCCTCTACTTTTGTTGCGCCATTTCTGGGTTCATGGACGCCCCCCAACGCACGCCGTTCGTCTTTGATGCGCGCGTGCACAAACTGCCACAGCCGATCCTCCGCCTGCCATCGTGGATGCTCTCCATCCTTGAGCGCTCTGCCACCTTCGACCGACTTGGGCGGCGGGATGCTAGCGCTCAATCCCCTACTGAGCCGCCGCCGCTGCTCCTCCTCCCACAACCCGACCAAGCTGGGTACGAGCTTTTGCGCGCATCCGTCTTTTCCACCTACTGAGAGGGACAACGTGTCCCGCTCTCCGACGCGGTGGTGGATGTCGCGTGCGCAGAGCGAGCGGCGGTTCAGGATGGCGGAAACGCGGATGTCGACTTCTAGCTCGCAGTGTGAGTTCTTTGAAACGTAATCGTCCTGTACCAGGTTTGCGGGCGTGTTAGAGTGTGTCCAGAGTTGTCGCTGCTGGACATCGTTCGAGCTGGGCTTCGACAGAAACGGATCGCTCTCTGCAAATACGAAAGATTCCGGAACATGGGTGAAAGTTATTGACGAAACAGATGTGCATATGAACTTACCTGGCAATGGTGCGCGAAAATAGCATTCCTCGACATCCACAAATCCGCAACCGTAAATGTTATAGTCGAGCATCCACTGAAGTTGATAGCGAACGTGTATCTCAAACGCCTGGAAGCGGGTCTTCATGACGCGCCCTGTCTCAAGGATGGTGTGGATTCGGGCATTCAGGCTTGGGTCCGTGAAGCTGATTTTGAGAAAATAGCTGTAGCCAACGTGGTAACCGTAGAAAGGGATACCTTTGACGAGGTGGATCGCATTGATGTATTTGCAGCGCTCATTGTACGGATTCCGACGCAAGCTCGCTGCGATTGCTGCATTGAGCTCTTGCCCCAGTCTCGAGATATATGAAAGCACGTGTTCCGGCTGAAGCGCACCCTTGTACTCAACGTAAGTATACGGAAAGAATCCGTGGACGTGCATACAGACCCTCTGACCAGCTGGAGTAGCACCAAACACACGGAGGACGGGGACGCGTGCAAGAGGCGAAGGACTGAAGGCGGTTTCCGTACGGTCAAACGGCCCAGCTTCAGTCATTGCATGGTCAATGTTGATCAGCCTGACGCGAAAGAAGGGCTCTTCATTCCCTTCTGATCCGTCAGATCCGCTTCTTGCGCCGCTGCTTCTGGAACCCTGCTGATCCAATGGTTGTTTCCCTTGCGGTTTGTCGCGAATTGGCTTGTCACGCACATGTAAATGAGGGGGTGAGTTGGACAGGGCCATGGGATGTTCACCGTCATTCTCGCCGTCCATCGGCGGCGTATCCGGCCGGATGAACCAGTCTCCAGCCTTTACTATGCTTTCGTCACGCTTCATGTCGAAACTCTCCGTAGGAAGGGGTGAACCTCCACTGCGTGGCAGCGTGTTGCTACTGCGCACACGGCAAGGCGCGATGACGTCGGCCCAATGGCTAGCCATGCACGCTCACCGCCCGCGGTCTAATGCCAAGCTTTTCCGCATCTTCCCGCGAGGACGAGGTGATGTCTGAAGATGTGAACGAGATGCGAATGTCCGTCACGACGTACTTGTCATTTACACGCAGCCTCTCGCACGCACGTACAGAGTCCAGTGCAAGTGTTATGTACCGACCCAACGTGATCCTAGAAGCTATTGCGTTCAGAGTGAGGATTACGCCCAGCTATCAAGATCTTACTAAATCGGTGCAAACACAGAGCTTGAAGAAGCGTCGTATTTTGTAGGGCTGCCGATCGTGCGTGCACACGCCACCTTTTATTCATCGCTCCCTTTATTAGTGCGCACCGACGCACTTGGCACCGCGCACGCGCCACCTGAAAACACACAGGCCTGCCGCCTGAACAACTGCGAAAGAGTGGCGACCCCCTGCGCAACACCTTCAACCTCTCCTCAAGCGTGCTAATTGTGCTCTCCGCTCATTCGAGAAGAAGATTGGTTGTGCTGCCCTTTGCATACAACAGAAGTATCCTTCTCTTCCCCTCTTAGCGAGTGCGCGTGATCCGATAGCCTGTAGATTCACCGCGCAGTTTTCCCACGATGGCCATCGATATTGTCGCCTTGAAGCAGCGATACGCCGCAGCAGGTCAGGCGCACCTGTTCACCTTCTTCGACACCCTCTCCTCCGATGAGCAGTCAATATTCGCTGCCCAGCTCGCAGCACTGGATGTGGAGCGCGTTAATTCAGTTTATGCAAAAGCCGTCGAGGCAGATGCAGCAGCTGCAGCCATGGCATCCTCCAAGGCCGTGCTCGGGCCACCGCCAGCGGAGAGCACCATCAGCACCAGTGATGCCAGCGGCAAGGATGCACCGCTGGAACAGGAGCTGCGCATGATAGGACTCGAGGCAATTGCACAAGGACAGGTGGGCGTTCTGCTCATGGCTGGCGGCCAGGGAACACGGCTCGGCAGCTCGGCGCCGAAAGGTTGCTACGACATCGGGCTTCCAAGTCACAAAAGCCTGTTCCAGTTGCAAGCCGAGCGCATTCGCAGATTGCAGACACTGGCAGAAAAGGCTTTCAGCAAGGAAGAGGGAAGTGTGGTCATTCCATGGTACATTATGACGTCCGGTCCGACACGCAAGCCGACAGAGGAATTTTTCAAGGAGAGGAATCACTTTGGATTGGAGGCGAAGAATGTCATCTTTTTCGAACAAGGTGAGCGGGACGTGGTATTTCAGGCGCTTTCCACTTATTTACAAATGATATTTCTTTTTCCAGGCACCCTCCCTTGCCTGACACTGGACGGCAAAATCTTACTTGACACTAAGAGCTCTATTGCAACTGCACCAGATGGCAACGGCGGTCTGTACAAGGCGTTACGCGACAAGCTGTACCCCGGCTCCTCCGAGACCGCAATCAATTCGCTTCAAACACGCGGCATCAAATATCTCCACTGCTACGGTGTCGACAACTGTCTTGTGCGCGTCGGGGATCCGATCTTCCTTGGCGCATGCATCAAACAAGGTGTCCAGGTCGGCGTCAAGGTCGTCACGAAGACCGATCCAGCTGAGAGCGTCGGCGTCGTTGCGCTTCGCGACGGCAAGTTCACCGTGATCGAATATTCCGAGCTGCCCAAGGAGCTGGCTGAAGCCAAGGACAAGAACCACCCGCAAGAGTTGGCGTTCCGCGCAGCGAACATCGTCAACCACTTTTACACGACTAGCTTCCTCGCCTTGGACGTTCCGGCCTTCGAAGCACAGATGGCGTTCCATGTCGCACGCAAAAAGATTCCCACGCTCGACATGCAGACAGGAGAGCGTATCAAGCCCACTTCGCCCAATGGCATGAAACTCGAGCTGTTCGTTTTTGACGTCTTCCCCTTTGTCGGCGAGGGAGGCTTGACTGTGCACGAGGTACCGCGCCAGGAAGAGTTTAGCCCATTGAAGAACGCGCCGGGGACAGGCACGGATGACCCACAGACATCACGGCGCGACCTCCTTGCGCAGCAGCGCCGGTGGATCGAGAAGGCCGGCGCTGATGTGAGAGACGGTGCAGAGATCGAGTTGAGCCCGCTCGTGACGTACACGGGAGAGGGACTGGACGGGCTCAAAGGGAAGAGTTTCACGGAAAGCACGGTCGTCGATAGCATTTAGACTCGCAGGCTCAACTTCAATGAGCATATGTCAGCAAATTGTTAGAAAATCATAACCCGGATATCCTCCCCTCACATATCATGCAACTTAAGGCAAACACGTCCTGTTGCGCTTCTCAGACCGGCCAGTGCGCTCGAGGCATATGCTTTAACATTCTTGATTCAAATGAGAAACTGCTACAACATATTGTCCATCACACTCGCTCTCTCATATCTGTCTACCGCTGACATGGCCCTCCTCACAGGAACCTTGCGAAAGCCGATGCGTACGAGACGCTGCTATCCCTAACATTATAGCATTTACTGCTCTGTTCATACCGCACGAACCTCAATTCGCTCATCTGTCCCTGATCGCGTTCCAGCGCGGTGAGCGCCTGCAAGAGGACTCCAATGGGCTTGCAACCGCAGATGGTGTTCTTCGTTTCGTCCATGTATGCTCGAAACGCTTCTGCGGCTTGGGCGGTGCTCTTGCCAGCAGTGTTTGCTCGGCCCTCTGAGAAAACAGAATGGGGGTAGGACATGGCTGCCATGCCTTCCGCGTCCAAGTCGCGAATGCTCTCCCAAATTTGCGCCTCGCCTTCTCGCTCTGGAATTTTGGCGCTGCTGCTCTTGAGGCGCGCGGCGTGAGCAGTCGGGCTGGGTCGATAGTGCGTGTAATCGAAGCGCGTGCCCCAGTGGCAGAAATCGCTGCTAACGACAAAGAAGTTCTTTGGATTGGCCAAGTAAGGCGCCAACAGCTGCCCGTACAGCGCTTGCGATGCGTCCGATAGCCTACCAACGAGGATCGGAACTATCTTGATGTTTTTACCTTGGAACACTTTGCGCACATATGGTAGGTGCATCTCGATGCTGTGCTCGTCTTCGTCCGTGCGAATGTCCATGCGCGAGAATTTACCCGTTGCGGCTAGCTCTGCGTTAAGGTCTGCGTCGATAGGCAAGCTGCCAATCGGCGTCGCATATTCACTGCAGGCGGACAATGCACAGTCGCGCAAAAAGACGTGATGCGACGGGCCGAGAATGAAGACCGTGTCTATGTCACTGGCGTCAATGCACTTGTACGCCCAGGCAGCCGCTGGACCCGAGTAGCTGTAGCCTGCATGCGGAGCGACAACGGCACGGCAGGAACGGATGGGCAGGGTGAGGCAACTTGCTTGCACGACAGCGCTGGACAAACTGGACGGGTATACCACTTCTGCTGCTGATGCTATGCCGGTTGGATCGACTGCGGAGAGCCATTGGGTAAGGGAACGGTCGAGGACTTTGCCTAAAGTAAAAATTTCACAGCGAGCGATGAGGATTCAGTAAGTGTTTGACGGCTTCATCAAGAAGCTACACACTCACCATCATCCGTGTACCATGAGCCGGCATGGCTGGCCGCACGACAGGACATGATTGTGATCGGCCCCTGCAGGTTACTTCGAAGACTTGTGGCCGCAAAGGTTGACTCCGTGAGCGAGGATTTCCAGACAGGATTACCTCGATACAGCTCGACAGCGAGGGGATGTGCTGTTTGGTTGGACATCTGAGCGCTATGGTGAGGTCTGAGATGAAAGAGTTTGAACTAATGGATGAGTTGGCTGATGCGCCGCTGATAGCATTGGCGGCACCGCTGCATGTGGCTCGAGCGCGATGGTCCTTCCAGACTCCCTGTATTTACCCGCTCCTCACATTGATCACGATCCAAGGGATCTCGCCTCAATTCTCAATTCTCACATAAGCCATGGTACCAACCAATCGGCAGGAACAAACTGTCCAGTGGGCGTCGTGTCTCTCTCGCAAAGACGCGCAGGCTGTAGTGGAAAACCAGTCTTCAAGTCTCTATAAAGACACAGTCAGACGGCGCCCTCGTCCGCGAAGAGGCAAGAAAGTCGCCCCACAGAAAGTATGTAAACATTATACTGGCAAACCTCTATGATGTGATACAATCCCGGCCCTAAATCACGCATGCGTGACTGCCTTATCCCGAGGAGCAGTTTCGATGAGAGGTTCGAAAATGCTCAAGCGCGGCTGGTGAGGACGATATTTGCCGGTGCTTTGGGCAGGACGACCATAGACTGTGGAGTGGCAGCAAGGAAGTTGCGCGGTCAGTATCTGTCGAATCCGTAACAAGCGGATTCATCCATAAGCACACACCTGGTAGTCTGGGTCCGGAAACTTTGTCTCGAGCCGCCAGTCGAAGGTGCGCACAAAGTTGGCGACGATCGTGCCGAGCTGGAGGTATGCAAACTGCTCGCCGATGCACCTGTGCCTTCCGGCACCAAACGGCAAGTACGGACTGTTGGCTCCGCTGCTGACGACGCCCCAGCCGAAGTCGACTTTCTCGCCTTCTTCGGCGGCCTCGGCGCTGACGACGCCATCCTTGTCGAACCACCGGTATGGGTTAAACATTGCTGCTTCCTTCCACACGTTTGGGTCGTGCTGGCTGTAGATCGGCGCCGCGAGGACGTAGTGGCCCTTGGGGATAACGTACGAGCGGTTCTCGTTCGCGCCCTTGTGCGACAAGGGCGCGGCATAGCTCTGAGGAACCGGGATCGCAGACTTGACTTTGCGCATGATGCTGTGGATAGGCGGGTGCAGGCGCAGCGTTTCCTTAATGACAGCGTCGAGGATTGGGACAGAGGACTTTTGGGTGTCGTAGTCCAAGCTGCGGAAGCCTCCGTTGCCGTCGCCGTAGACGCGTACCTGCTCGTCGTACAGATCATTGATAACGTCAGACCGCGAAGCCAAGCGAAGCAAGGCCCAGGCCCCCGTGGCGCTGGAAGTGTGTTGTCCGGCCATCAAAAGCGCAATCATCATGTGCGCTACTTCCGTGTCCGTGACCTTCCTTCCATCCTTGTAACTCTGGCTCATCAGCGCCGAGATCATGTCGCTCTCCTCCGACTCGCCTTGCTCTTTACGTTTGGCAATGATGCCCTTGTAAAAGTCCGACATCTTCTTTTGCGCCCTGTCGCGCTTGAAGTTGTTTGGAAGCGGGAGGTAGGGGATAACAAAGTTGATCGGGGTGAAACCGGAGTCGAGGTCGTGGTATAGGTCAGCAAAGCTTTTGTCGAGATTCTCGCGTACCTCCTTCCCTTGCAACGTGCGTGACGCGGTCAAAATGGTGATCTCGCTCATCGCCTTGAAAATGTCGACTGTGACGCTTTTACCTGACTTGAGACCCTCGAACTGCGAGTCGGTGGCGACGAAGCTCGTGACCTCATCGGTGATCTGTGGCACGTACACGCGGAAGTTCTCGACAGACAGGCCAACCTTGACGAAGCGTTTCTGCTCCATGAAGACCGCATTTGGAACGTCGTAGACAACCTCCTTGCCAAAAACTGGAGTAGTCAAGTGCGTGTATGCCTCTTCAGCAGAGACTTGGGAGAGTTTGCCATTGAGCACAAGGTTAGAACCCTTCTGTCCGAGCGCAACAGTAACGTGACGACCGAGGAGGACAAATGTGAAGACGTCGCCGTACTGACAAGAGCACACATGGGAGGTTGTGAGCACGGCGGGAGTAGACCGACGTGGCAAGAGACTGGCCCACCTTTTCCTTGCAGTCCCTGAAGAAAGTGATCGGGTCAATGCCGTAGGTGACTGCACTGCCAATGATGGGGAAATAGTGGAAGACGACGGGCGGCCGTGACTTGTCTTTTGGCAGGAGCTTGGGGGTGGGGGGTTCGCATAGAAGTCGAGTCAGGCGACGAACAGGAAAGGTAATCATTCTGCCAACTACCCACCAGCTGCTGGGCGACATTGAGGATTACCGCGACCAAGAGGGCCAAGACGGCGAGAACGGCGACTTGAGCCGACGTCGACAGGTGGCGCAGAGGCGAGGCCTCCAGGGCCGAGTGAAGAATAGAAGTCATGACAAAAGAACCGACCAGTCCCTAAGACGCTGTGAGGGCAACTTAGACGCCCAGCAGTCAGAGTCTTGACGATCCTGTCTGTTGACGCCGTTGTCTTTCGCCAGCACCAGCAGCGAGTGAAGCATCAGGATGAAAGGAGGACGGGAGGTGAATGAATGGTTGATTCAAAATGAAAGGCTACTGGGCGTCGCGAAAGTGATTCCACTTCGTCTCCAGACAACTCCTGCAAAGGACTGCAGGCCACTTTGCTGAGCGTTCGCGCGCATGTCTCTTCTTGTCCAAACAATTTTTGGCCCCAAAATGAGACCACTCGAGAGGCGCTACAGCTGCAAAGAGCTTGCGAAGAATCTCCGCGGATGAGTCGGCCGGCGCGTGTTTACAGGCGTGCTCGGCCAAAACACGTAAAGCCGGGCTCAAACAGCGAGTACAGGCTATCGAAGCCAAGGGCAAGCCTCCTCACTCTTTGCTCCATATGTACAGCATCTTGTTGGCCATCGGTTGCATTGCATTGCCTGCTAGTCGCCTTGAGCAGCAGTGACAGCAACGGCAACGGCAGCAGCAGCAGCAGCCAACAGCCAGTCATGTCTCTCGCACGCCAACTACGCAACCTACGCCTGTCCGGCTGGCGGCAGGCCTACCGCGATCTCGCAGGTCTAGGCGATATCAAAGCCGGCACGCTCGTCGGCGTCGACCGCAACGGGAACCAGTACTTTGAGAACCTCAAGGATGAGATCCCGGGACGCCATAGATGGATCGACTATCATCAGCTGTACGACTCCAACGTCTCGCAGATTGACCCGGAGTGGCACTCATGGCTTCATCATATCCGCAAGGACCCGCCGGCCAAGGATGAGGCGATCCAGGAAGGGCGGCAGAGTTGGATCAAGGTGAGCATGAGCAGCAGATGCTGGCCAGCCCTGCCGCTTGGTAGGAATGTGTACTTGTGGTATCAGAGCAGCTAACAATTTCCCGTGGTCCTGATCCATTTTCAATGTGAAGCCGTCGGTTGAGAATCTGACTGGCACTCCTGGCGCATTCAAGACATATTCGACAACAGCCCCAAAGATTGTGAGTGCAATCATTTCCATCTTTGAACAGAGAGATTCAGGTCTGAAGAGTAATCTCCACCTTCCTTGAATCATCGTACTCGTGGTATGCAGAACTCATGGCAGCCAAAAGTAGCGCCCCGAGCATGAGCATGGGCCGCATTGTTGAAGAGTCAATAATGATGCCAGTCAACGAACGCCTTTTGCTCGTACGGGCTTTTCCACAGCATACACATCCGCATGAAGCAATTGATTGCATGCATTTTCAAGCGCCTGTTGTGAAAGGACATGAAAACCTGCTCACGGCTACGTGGTCCCAGAACGTCCGTCGAGCATGGAGAGAAGTTGAGGCGAGCCGAACGCGGCGAATTAATAGACTACAGAAGTACGACCTTGGTGGGCAGAAACCCAAGCGTCGAACGCAAGCTTTGGATAATGAGCATGTCCATTAGGAACAACCCGTGACCATATGGGGGAGAAAGCGAAACTAGTGATGAGAGACTGCTTGGTATTCGTTAGGACGGGCGCGCACAGCTGCGATTGCGCAGGGAAGGTCGCGCCTTGCGGTGCATGCGCCGCTATGACTCCGTCACTGCAGACCCGGTAGCTCAGGGCTGTACTCATCCAGTCCCTCGTTGATGCGTGGCGGCAAGTTGACGCGCACAGCGTTGCTCGACCCGTGAGTTGCCTGACTGGAGCTGATGCTCGGGCCGGACGTGTTCGTCGAGCTGGTCCGAAGGCTCTCCTCGGTCGTCGGCGCTGCACTGGGCATCGAATAGACGGAGGCCGTCGTCGTCGTCGGCGCGCCTTCCAAGTCGGCCTTGAGCGGGGTGCCGAGGCGGGGCATGGCGGTAGCCGCGCTTGACTGCGAGCACCCGCTTGTGGTTGACTTGCCGGTGCCGGCGGTAGCATTGCCCGTCGACGGCTCGAACGTTGTGATACCGCTGAATGCCGTATCAGCAGAGGGAATGCCATGGCCACTGCCCTGTTCCTTTTCATCGCGCAGCACACCGCTGGCAGGGCCAGCAGCAGGAGCGTAGCGCGGGGGCGGTGCAAAGTCTGCGTCGCCAGCATCCGTGTCGAGTGAGCAGCGGGCAGCGCTGTGTGCGATCTGCTCGCGGTCGCGCTGCTGCTGGTGCGCACGCGCGGCAACGACGGCCTCGGCAGCGTTGGCGGGCATCTCTCCGTGCTCGAGATGGAACGGGATGCCGTCGAACACGCTCAGACCGCCGATCGAGCTGGCGGTGCTCTGCCGAACATCCTTGCCCGGACGGTGGTGGGGACCGGAGTTGTTGCGCGCGCGCACCGCGCGCCCGCTGACTGAAGGTGCGGCGCCGCCGGGCACGGTAGGCGCGGCAACCTCGGTAGCGTCGACCAAATCGCCGTCCTCGTCGAACCAGGAGGGGCGATTCGCGTCAAGGGCGGCGCTGCTCCCGCTGCGCGGGTCAATGAACGAGTGCAGCGGCAGGCCTTGCGCGTAATGGCTCCCGTCAAAAATCGGGATGCCAAACGATGCGGTGGTGGTGCCTGACCGGCCCATGTCGGAACGCGAGAAGCCTGCTGTGGCAGCACGAGGGTTGCTGCTCGCCGCGCCGGAGCCCTGAACGACCATTGGGCCGGAGTTCTTGAGAGCGCGGGGTTCAGGTTCGTCCATGCTGGCGCGTACGGCGGCCTCGTCGTCGAATGGATCGGCGCCGCCGTGCGCGAGCTCAGACGAGGTGGGCGTCATGCCGCCCTGCTCGTCATCGTCGCCAACACTGCTGCCGGCGGTGGCAGCGTTGGAGTTGTACCGCTTGCTGCGGACTTTGCCCTTGCTGTTGCCGCTGAACGAGCGCACGAGCTCGGGCTTGCCGCCGTTGGCGACCTGCACCCGCTTGGCCGAGCCGGGTGTGAGGGGTGTGACGATCTTGCTGCTGAGGACGTAGTCCATCGAGACGCTCGAGCCGGACGACGCAAATGTGGCGGTGGAGAGATGACGGTGAGATGCGCCAGCCATTGCAGTGGAACCGGGGGCCGACGCGTACTGCGACGGCAAGGGCGGCATCGTGTCCACGTCGGGGACCTCGACGTCCGAGCCGTCGTGTGCGGCCTCAGAGCGTACCATGGTGCTCTCCGCGACGCTCTTGGCGTACGTGCTG